GGGGGGGGGGGAAACAGAAGATTGTGTGCCAGGATGTCGCCCGTTCAGACCCGGACTCTGCCACCTCTTCTCCGTGCCAGCCTGAGCCACACGCTGGCTGAACCTCCTTGTACTCGGCCCTCCAAACCCAGTACTGTTGCCCTCCGGCGCGCCGAGTCCACACCACTGGGGCCGTCAAGAGACTCAGATAATTCTTTCAACGTTATTAAGCCGGTGAAACGTGCTTAGACGGGGACCTGCTTACAAACAGCACTTCATTCTGCAGCCTAAGCTTCTTCACAAATTTGATTTCAAGCACGTCTTCTCTAGACTGTAAACCGGCTTCTGTGTGTGTCTTCTTTAAGAGTTCCGGAGCACATAGAGTAGCAAGCGCCAACGTTTCCGTTAGTCGTCTTAGGGAAAGCAGGGGAGGCTGACCCCCATCTCTCTTTCTGTCTCTCCCCGGGCCGCAGGTGCAGTGGAGGGGTCGGTATCCCAGCATGCCGCGCATTAAGTGTACCGTGCCGACGATGGTGATGGTGGTGCTGCTGCAGAGCGGGGTGCTGGTCTTCCTCTTCACGTGGCACGGCCCCCTGGTCTCCCCCGTGCCGGAGCCGCAGGGCAAGGTGCACGTGCTGATCCTCTCCTCCTGGCGCTCGGGCTCCTCCTTCGTGGGCCAGGTCTTCAGCCAGCACCCGGACGTCTTCTATCTGATGGAGCCAGCCTGGCACGTGTGGGCGAACCTGTACAAGCACAGCGCCGCCGCGCTGCGGATGGCCGTGCGGGACCTCATCCACTCCGTCTTCCAGTGCGACGCGTCCGTCTTCGACGCCTACCTGTCCGGCAGGCACAACATCTCCAACATCTTCATGTGGGAGGTCAGCCGGGCCCTCTGCTCCCAGCCGGCCTGCAGCCTGTACTCCCACAGCAACATCAGCAGCGACCCCGAGCTGTGCAGGAAGACCTGCGGCCGGCGCGACCTGGAGGTGCTGGAGGAGACCTGCAAGAGCTACAGCCACGTGGTGCTGAAGGAGGTGCGCTTCTTCGACATCAAGTCCCTCTACCCCCTGTTCCGGGACCCGTCGCTCAACCTCAAGATCATCCACCTGATCCGGGACCCTCGGGCGGTGGTCCGGTCACGGGAGCAGTCCATGGTGGCTCTCATGAGGGACAACGGCATCGTCCTCAACTCCGGGGGCACCGGCGTGGCCGACCCCCAGTACAAGGTGATGCAGGAGATCTGCCGGAGCCACATCCAGATCTACGAGACGGCCACGCAGAAGGCCCCCGAGTTCCTCAAGGGCCGCTACATGATGGTCCGGTACGAAGACCTGGTCCGCGACCCCCTGGCCCAGATCTCCCAGATGTACAAGTTCACTGAGCTGGAAATGACCTCCAAGCTGAGGAACTGGATCTACAAGGTCACTCACGGGCAGGGGTCCGGGAAGCAGAAGGAGGCCTTCAAGATCACGTCCCGGAACGCGGTGGACGTGTCGCAGGCGTGGAGGAGCTCCCTGCCTCACGACAAGGTGCGCAAGATCCAGGAGGTCTGCAAGGGAGCCATGAACCTCCTGGGCTACAGGCTGGTGGAGTCGGAGGCAGAGCAGAGGATGATGGCTCTGGACGTGGTGGTCCCGCAGGAGCACTACCAGTTCAGCTGGCTGCCCTCGAAGACCACGGAAGGAGAGAAAGTGTAGAGCATCCCGAGTGAGCTCTGGTAGACGTTGGCCTGAGAGGAGGACCGCCTCAAGCGAACCCTGTGTACAAAGAGGCTGCCCTTGTTTGGGTGTTGCCAATTTTTCGGAATCACAGCCCACATCCTACGTTAATTATTCTCACGCAGCGCCACCGGTGGTGAGAACTTGCCAGGCGTCGTGGTCAGTTGAGAAAAGAACGCAATGGCGAAGTTACCCCACCTAAACCGCGAGCCTCGGTAGATCTCTCCCGTGCAATGTGCAATACGTCCTTACTGAGTTCCTGGGAAACACAGGGACACTTTGTTTTCCATTAAGAAATGGAAAAGGGGAGTTTTTCTATGGAAAAATGCTGAAACCCAGGAGGGACATGAATCACATTCTCGTCTGCTGGAACCTTTGTGTTCCTCATATGTATCGTTGGCTAGCAGGTGAGCAGTTGGCTGAATCTGCCTCAGAGTCAACAAGGTATCTTGATCTACCAGGAGCTACCTTCTGAGTAGAAGGTTTGAGTAAATTCTTTGACTCCAGCATGGAAAAGTGGTCCACAATAGGCAGTAATTATGAGTACCACTCATCATTTCTGTAATCAATTGACTGCTTTTTTCCTATTGTTAAATAGAAACACTTCTATGAAGGTTTACACCAGAGTCTGTGGCCTGTGTTTTGTTACTGTGGCCTGTTTGTACACCAGGTGTTTGAAGGTAAAACTAAAAGCCGTCTTCTCCTGACATGGCTTCTGTCGAACTTACAGTACCTGACAGCAGGACTTGCTGAAAGGAATTCGTTGTCAGCAATAACACCAGCACAGGTGAAAAGCCAAGCTATTCATTTGTTTCACAAGTATTGAATCACATATGTCTTATTTTTTGTTAACAGAATTCTTTGACATTTTGTTAAAAATAAAGACAACTGATCTTCTACCAAACTGGAAGTTAAACTTGATCTTCCGAAATATGGAATCTACCACCAACTAGGTTTCTCCAACACTAATGAAGTCCTCTTTTCCTTTCGGAAATATCTTGAAAGTCTTTTATGTTTGGACAGGACTTGATTGTATGAGGAGAAACAAAGTTATTATGTGGGGGTAGTTCTTTCTTTCCTTGTCTTTACAGTAGCCTGGCTCTTGTTTCTGGGTGGGTTTAGTTGAAATGTATATTTTCAATTAACCCCTGGACAGCAATATTTCACCATTAACAGCAAACACATTTTGTTTTAATTAATTTATTTTTAATTGTCTCCTGCTCTGCAGTATAAAATAACTGACAAGTAAATTCACAGTGATCTGTCCGAACTATAAGAAAAGTGAAGCTTTTATGGTCCACTGTGTGGATTATCTGAGTGCACAGTGGAGTCTTCCATTTTCAGTGGATGTACCGCTATAATAATAATAATAATTCATTTCAGCAGTGCACTAGTTTTTAGTTAAGTAGTTCATTGTTTTTATTGCAATTTTAGTCAGCTCTTTTCTAATTCTGCTGTATGTGTCCCTAAGTTATAAACAGTTTTCTTTTCTTGATGGTGGCTTTCAAATCAGTTAATATTGCCTCTGATGTGGAATATGGGTGCCAGCAGGCTTCAAAGCTCTGCATGATGTTTATTGGATTTTTTGGGGTGTTTGGTGGAAGAGAAAGTGTGCATGCCGCGATAGAATGAATAGCCTTGATAGAAATACTACAGCCATGACACAAGATCAAGCTGAAAATGGAGCAGACACTAACACAGTATGATCTGATTGCTTGGCCCTGTGCACCGTACAGTGGCTATCTGACCTGGCTGCGTGGCGAGCTAATATTTATATAATGTGTGAATGTGTGTAAAAATGAAGGGGTTAAACATAAGTGTTTTACATAGTATCAGGTACTATATCCCCTTCTGAATATGTACTGCAGTACAGTATTATATTGTGACATACTTCTGGGGAATTTGGTACAAATCTCTCAAATGTGTATTTTTTGCAATAAAGATATTTCAGTTGCATGTCGTTTGTCGTGTGCAGTTTGCTTCTCTGACTCTTGGGCAATTTGACAGCTTCTGCTGGTTTTCAGTTTGGGAATGCCTGCTAGTTTCTGAAGCTGTTTTATAGATTGGGGGTCAGTGGCTTTGGCAGTTGTACCATCAAGAATAAAAGCTAGCTGGATCACCGCTGCTCTTTAATGTCATTTGCTTTTTATCATTTCTATTCTTTTGCATTTGCAAAACAATTCTTAACGGCACCAGGAGATGGCAGTAAAAGGCTGGGTAGTTACAAATATTAACATTTTCAGCCTAGACAAAAAGTCTCAGGGGCGGAGAACATTTGAGTATACAATAATTTCAACTTAATTTTCTCTTCAAAACATGGAGTGCTAATGCTGGCAGAACTTCATTTTCACTAAGGGAGACCCGTTCATGGTGACAATAACAAACAGGATCAAGACAAGACTTGGGTGTCTTGTTACTCCTGTTCCATTTACTAGTATATTTCAACAGGCTTGTGTGATTAGAGTTCCAGCCAGCTGCAATGTATTAGGGTTATGCCCTTCTTAGAGAGGCCCTTGAGTCTTTCATGAATTCTATCAAATGTTAGGAATAAAATATCAAGAACTAAATTGAGAGATTCCATCTGTTTTTAAAAATTATTGAAAAAAGTCTGCCTGAATTAATGAAAAAAATGCAGGTACTGTGTACCTGCTGGATTTGTACTAGAAACAATAGTTACATTAAAGGTGGTCATACACTGTAAGAAATGGTAGGTTTGGTATTGATTCGTAAAATCAAAGCTGTTTTTTAAATGGAAACGTATCATTCTCAAAATGAAAGCCACAGGAATCCCAACCAATGGAAATGGGAGTTGACAGTTTAATAAAAAATAGGGAAAAACTGGAACAAACACCAGTTTTTGTTCCCTCTATTAAGGGGTCTGGGGTAATTAAAGCACAATTACAGTGTCTTATTTTGGGCCTGTTGCTCTTTCGGATTTACATTATACATAAATGTAGTCAAGCACTGGGTGGTCCTCCAGCTAGCTAGGATGTTAAAGCTACCTGCTGCAGACTGCAGAAGCACTGACACACGGCACACCCCCATCTGTGAGCCAGACAGCACCTTCTTCCAACAGGCTTGGTGGGGTGGATGTACTGTATTGCCTGTGCTGTTGCTGAAGAGCTTGAGCCTGTTTAGTGTCCACGAGACTTACATCTAGATGTAACACACCTAGAAACACAAGATGGGATGCCAGTCTGTTGCAGGACACGCACGCACGCTTGTTCTTGTTAAAAACAAGAACCTGACTGCTGCTGTGTTTGGGGGTGTTAGCTTTGCTTGTTCCAAAAGAGCATCCCTGGCCAAACCGGATCAGCCGGTAGGTTAGGTTAGAGGCTTCAGGAAGGGAGGTGAGAGGGCCAGCAGGCCATGGATCGTGCTGGGGCTGGACTGGTGGTCGGGCCTCAGCCCCTCTGCCCCTCTGCCCCGCTCCCCTGTACTGCACAGGGGGGTGTATGTGTGTAAGTGTTCCACATTGTGCTGCTGGGCTAGGGGCATTGCCACAGTAAGATCAAGAGTGGATGGAAGTCTGCATCTAGTGTGAAGATAAACTGAAAGAGTGTTCTTCTGTTTAAAGTGGATGGCAGCTAATAAGGAACTGAAGAGCAGTGTGCTGACAGGAAGATAAAGGACTAGACTGATGGTGTGTGCACAGAGATGGTACTGCTTTTGACTAGAAAATGTGGGAATGCAAATCACTCTCCTGGTAGCTAAGGGCATTTGAGGATTTGGTCTGTCCTGTTTTTTTTCTTTCCTGCATTCGGCCTGCTGCCCCGGTTGCTGTGGAAACTGCTGCCTGTCCTTTTTTACACTTTGTAAACTCCATCCACAAACTGAATCTTTGCCACCAGGGAACTGATTTGAAAATATATCACTTCACTATTTTAGCCCACAAATGTCAGGAGATCTATTCTGCATTCATGGTGTAAATTATTGGAGACAAAAAGTGATATACTGAACTGGATGGTAGGACTAATTTGTTATAGGCCTGCGATACCAAGTGCAAGTTGATATGGTACTGCACAACAGAAAGGAACTGTATAACATTCAAGGTTTGACTGAAAGAGTCATATTCCTGAAAGGCACACGTGTAGAACCAGGGAGTATTTTCCATTAACCTATTCGAGGCAAACCGTAGCTCTACTCTATGATATGACTGTTTCGACCTGAGGTCTGTTTTCCGGTGTGTGAATTTCTTTTTTTCTCAGAGTATTTTGAAGTCCATTGGTGTCCCTTGAATTAACCACTGAGCGCAAGATTAATTAGGCAAATTCAGTGTTTAGTGTTGAGGCCATGTGCTAGTTATTCTGCTAGATCAGTTACAAAACTTGAAAAGGGGCTTAAAGGGCAGAAAAGCAGCCATAACAATTACTCCAAATAATTGTGCAACAGTTAAAACTTTGTTTCCACTTTACCTTCTCTCAGTGTAACCGACCTGTACTTTGTTACTTGTAAAAAGAGTTCTAAATTTTAAACCAGCTAAAACTTAAATTTTATGTCCTCACATTCTTTCTATAAAGGCCTTACAGCTCTCTAGCTCGCCGTTAAAGCCAGGAAAGAATTTGTTGCATACAGACACATCTCCCTCATGCTAGTGAGAGATTTGACACCTCCAGTCAGCAGTGTAAGTCATGAGTTATTCTGTTAATCATTTCATGGGATTGTTCTCTTAGTTTCTTCATCATCAGGAATCCCCATGAAATCCTCATCCCACTCTATCTCCTCAGTTAGAAAGGTTGACCTTTCTGGGTCACCCCCGAGACTGCGAGAGAAAAGGGGGGTGCCATCCCTTTCTGTGCATGTCATCTTCACTTCCCCTCTGAAGAGACTTCTAGGAGTCGTCTAAGACAGCAGTTTCACCTTAAGTCTGTCCAGCTCACCTGGGCCTGCTCAATGTTAGCTTGTTCTTTCTCAGAAATGAAAAAGGCACTGGATTATTGATCTGCTCAGAACGTTCAACAGTATTTCAATATGATGTCATGCAAAAGACACTGTATTTCACCTCTGTCATTCACTACAAATTGTGTTGGTTCTTGAAATCTTGTAAAATCTCCCACTAAAGATTTCCTGAAAAGCTTTTGCTAATGAATTTCGTATCATTATATCAGTTTTCAGTGTCTGACAGCATTGGAGTTCAGGAAGTTGCAAGAGTTCCTCTGCAAGAACCCTAAAAAAAGGAAAAGCAGACAGCCAGATATGAAAAGTCATCTGGCCTGTTAACGCCTGAGGCGTGCCATTTCCTGATAGAGGAAAGCAGTGTAGAATGAAAGATACAGGTCTGCAGAACAGGGCAGACCGCACCATGACAGAGCTTTTTACAGGACTCAACTGACAAGTCAGGTCTGACACCACCCTGTCTTAACCCACGAGTAATGAAGTAAAACTTGACTTCACCCCAACTGAATTCTAATGATTGGAATTTCATATTCAGGGGAATTAAAAGAGGAAACGGACAATAAACTGAATAATTAAATTCAATTTAATTATTGAATAATTAAAACTGAATAATTAAATATTGTACATATCGTCACACGCTTTGCTCCATCCCTTAAAGTTTTAATTGATTCCACAATTATTAAGCTCAGGTTCCTCCTGAAGCCCTCCCCAAGGCACTTTCTTAAACACATCTAAAATGAACTGTCCGTAATGTAAACTATTTTCTATTCCTATTGGAGTATCGTTTGCAGAAAGTGTCTCAATGCACATGGGTGACAAGTCGTCCCATAATTCAACTGTGCCATTTGAGCTGAAATGAAAGATGTTCACCTGACTTTTGCATTTAAAGAATAAAATAATATCAGTGTAGAAAAAGTAGAAAAAATAAGGATTTTGATTCTGTAGTCATCTGCTATTTTGTCACTACAATTTCTCAGTGTATGTGAAGCACATTCAATTTGAGACTCAACCTCATTCAAATTGTGAACTTGGAATGAGTTGGTGAGACTGAGCAATACTTTGAAGCTCAAAGAGACCAGCCTGTCAGCAGAGATTTTCCAGAAGTTGACCTGTTTCCATGTTCACAGTTTTCAAGACCTAAAGTTCATTTTGTTAAAGTTATTTCTTGGGTGTTTTATTTTGTATGTCTACTTTCAAATTTATTTCTGTTTTTCATTGTACGTGTCCTCAGGGTCCCCAGATCACTTACAATCTCCAGTGAAAGTTGAGAAAACGGACTGAATGTAATTATTGACTTTAATTAAGGAGTCGACTGGCACCAGGTCCTAGTAATGCTGAAGCAAAAACATCTCATAAAAATTTCATCTGATGCAGCAATGAATTATTTAGTGTTTCCCTTTTGTGTGGTTCTACGTGGAATCTGAAGAGGGCTGTAAATAATGCAGCAGGCTGGAAGAACTCGGCAAATCTCTCATCTCGAACGAATGATACAGATTCTTCGCATGTGCAGAGGATCATTTGGACCACTAGAATCCCAGGAGGGAGCCTGGCATGTTTTTAGGCAGAGAAGGGGAAACATGGATCTTCAGGATATCCTTGCTGTAGATGGGTACCTGCCAAGTAGATGCTATGACAGGGTACTCTATCACTCCAAGGTTTTTGTGTATGTAGTAAACTATACAGCGTTTTCAAAGGGTTGAGTTTTTAACTTTCAAACAGGACACCGCATCTTTTTTAGCAATCTTTAGTGTTCCTCTGGCAGTGGGCTCGGCTGGCAGTCAGTGTCCAGAGGTGATGGATTATGTTAAAATCAGCAGGGACACCTAACTGGTGTCTATCCTCTACCGCTCCATTCTGTTCTCAGTGTTGTGTCACATACAGGTTCTCTCTCAATCCAGATCATATTTGTTCAGATTCATCTGGATACTTTAAAATGGGGTTATATACTAAAATTAACTTTTAAATTAAGAACAATACCACTGCTGGAAAGTGTACTGTTGCTCAAAAACCATGCAGAGAAGCAGTGTACGGAGATTGGAAATATTCTTATTGTTGCTTGCTGGGATACGTTTGCAGGTGATCTCAATTGAAAGAAACAGTTAGAAAATGGATGGATATTCTTATTGGTGTTTTTATGAAGTTAGTAAAAGAAGTACTTGGCTCTTGTCACTTCTAAATTGTATCTTAAATCCGATTGCATGACTCTCCTGAACAAATCGCTAACTTTGGTCTGTTGTTTACAGGGTCTGATTGATGGCAGGAACAGTGAACAATATGAGCAGGTTACTAAGCCTGGTCCTTAAGTATTATACCTTTATTTCTCAGTTTTAGGGGCAATTTTAAAATTTCTCAGAAGTGTCCAGATGAACACTGATCTAGCTGGTCACCCTGTTCTTTAACAGGGACTCTTTTGCACTGCCACTCTTTTAAAACTTCACATAGCAATTGAATGCTGTAGTATTAAAATCTCTGCTGAAGTGAGAACATAAAGTCCTGTACAGTACAGACAACACTTCCGTTCGCTTGGATGCCTTCCATCCATCCATTTTCTAACTGCTTCTCCCAGTGCAGGGCTCACGGGGGAGCTGGAGACCATCCCAGCAAGCAACAGGACCAAGGTGGGCTACACCCAATGACAGGACACCAGTCCATCTCAGGACAGACACGCAGACACGCTCACCGCTTGCATACCTGACAAATAAGTATCTCCGTAGAAAAGTGACCTTATTAGGCCTTATCATTTTACTGCCTGACAATAAAGAAGGTTTAGGTCTGTCAAGTGGGGACCCAAGATCCATGGCTCCTAGGTCCCACCCAAACACTGAATCCTGTGTATTGAAAAGCATTTCTTGCACAAATTGGATTCTACAGTCTGAGGGAAATCAGGGACATCAACTGTCGTCACTGTGCACCAGTGATGGCTGAAGGTGCACTCTTCTACTGTGCATTTATAAAACGGGAATTTGTCAAACAGACCTCCCTGTTCAAAAGCTGAAATTCAGCTGTAACGAGATTCAAGGCTGCATTCATTAACTATTTAGAACACGTTGTTAAAGCAAGGCATTAATCTTTCAGAATGCTACTTCCAGACTCCCAGTGGGCAGCTTAAATGGTTTCATTTCCTGATTTTGTAATTTAAGGAGTTTGCCTTTTCCTTTTAAACAAAACTGTGCACAAATTAGCATTGTGGGAAAAAACTCTGTGAATGTAACCCTACATGTTGTGCTGTGGGTGAAGAACAAATTCACAATTGTTGTTTTTCTCTGTTTGCCGGAAAGTATCCATCCTGACTGTAAGACTTTTTTTCACTGACACATGATGTTTACTTCTTTTTGTCACAAAGCAGGACTGAACCGCCTATCCCGCATCAGTAACCTTTTAGCAAATAGCCACGTGCCGATCAGGGGACCTTTACGTCCAGAAAAATACTGGGTTACATGTTCTAAATATGACCTCACCAATGACCAGCACAACCAGTAATGCAGCTATAAATAGTGTACCAAGGTGTCGGCCACATTTAAAATGGTCATAACATCCTGTTTTCACAGCACAGAGCTCATCTTGCTCCACCTGTCAGATCAGATCTGGGCAATCCTACAGTTCACTTCAACTCTTCAACTCAAAAAAAGAAACTCCGGGAACTTTGTTTAATTGCTCAAACCTGGAAAAACCTGATGCTTAAACCTGTCCAGAGACATTTTTACAGAGTATTTGTTCTTATCCATATGTGGTTGATGATACAGGCAGAATACATTCATGTATTCTGAGATCATTTTTTAAAGTGCCCTTTAATCAGATAGCACACCTGCAGTATACTGCTGAGCACTATGCATGGAAAACCCCAGTTTAGACAGCAGAAAAAGTCCAAAAAGACAACTTGTTCTGTAGTATATTTTTTTAGAAATGGTTATTAATTTCCTGGTGTTATTTCTCCTTTTTCAGGTCACTCATTTCAACACTCTATTAGACGCATGAGAGTTAAAAGATATTTGATCAAGCAGTGTTTTGCCAGCTTTCTTCTTTTTCCAGGTTCCAGTGACACACAATAATTTTGACACTTGATTTACATCACAGAACATATGACTACTTGAAGTACAATGAAAAGCAGGAAATATTAGTAAAAAAATAAAACTATGAGTGGAACAGTGGCATAGTGCTACCAGTTACAGCTCTGGGGTCCAGGAATTGAGTCCTGTAATTGATTACAAAGTGTTCCGTGTGGATTCTGGTGTCCCAGTCTTTATGTGAGTTTTCACAGGGAGCTTAGATTCCCTCCCACCTTCCAAAAATGTGATGATTCTCAGAGATTAAGGAAATATACAAATAATCACTTTGTGAAGGTTAAGGCTAATGAAAAGTTTCCTTAATCCTCTCTGCAATTGTGAGGCCATGCGAGAGGGGAATTTCAGAATTGAGTAATAAATGTCACCGGGGTCACGCAAGTTCAGATCAGCAATCTGCAGGAAACAGCTTTGAGATTATAACTCCTGTGCACCAACGTGCAGTCTGTCTCAGGCTGGGATTAAAGCCAAAACACAGAGGAGTGCGCAGCAACTTACTGAAACAGGGGGAGAAGAGAGAAACTCTGAACATCAGGGGACTGAAGACAAACTTGGCTTTCACAGTAACCACACGGGCCCCATCTTTCTGAAATCAGCCCGTTTCCTTCAAAGAAAGACATAAGGAGTTGATTTGCATCACATTTTCCTCATTTAGAAGGAGCACTAGACAGAAATTACAAGACTGTTTAGGTTTGTGCAATGGCAGCCTGATCTGACTTGGGCTATCTCACTGCCATTTGGCAGAATTTTTTACCTGACTTTTCCAGTTCCTCTATTGGCAACTTAGTATTCTCGCTTTAGGCTTCCCAGATAATTTACATAAACTGTGAAAAACAGATAGCAGGGTAGACCCAATGAATTGAACAGACACTCTCAGTGACAGCAGGAGGGAAACTTTTATCGCCTTCCCTGGCCAGAACAATCGCCTGATCTCAATTCATATGAAAACTGATGTTACTGACAGAACATGTTGGTCAATCGGCATTCCTTTCTCTAGTCCCACTCCTCTCCTCATCGTAGTCCAGAGCATACTGGCCTTTCCATTTGTGTTCTGTCACAGGGATTCAAAGACTCTTTTACTAGCAAGACAGCTAAAACCAAAAACATCTTCAAACGTCAGATATTCCTCCAGCACTCCATAATCAACTAGTCTTTCTAATCTCTCCATTTACAGATCTCTAGAAGTTGTTGGCTTGATTTTAATCTCTTTAGCTTGTTCTTCAACACCCTTACTTCATGGTGAAAAACACAAAAATTCCACTTCTCCCTTTGCGGTTTGGACACCGATTCAACTTGATTCACTTAATATACAGATATAACCTCAATTTTATACAGCATCTGTACACTTCTCTTCTTTCAACTTGTAAAATACCAACTCAATTTGTAAGAGTAACTCAAAAGATCTGAATTTGGTCCAACTGCAAGGCGTAGGAAAAAGTCTGCGTGATTGAACAAGTGTGAGCAATTCATGTTAGTAGCTCTCTGTTCCTGTATCAATTCATTTTTTTCTAGGGTGTTTCTTGGAAAGATGAGCAAGAAAAAAGCATTTCCCCAGATATGAAACTAAAAACATTAGTAGTTTTGCAACTACTAAGAATCTGTTTTATTGTGGCATGGAACCAAAAAACTCCTACAGATGCTCTAGGGCTAAATATGTCTTAACACAGGTTGATCGCCTATTTTTTTTAAAAAAGTACTTGCAAACAAGGCCAGTGTTTTAACATTCTCATTGCAGCAGGTTAGTTTGGCAGCAGTTCACATAATTACAAAAAGCATCTGCTAAGAAGCTCCAGGCTCCCAGAATACATGCAGACCTAAATAACTGAACATGGCCATCATTGGCTTAAGAGCACTCATCCCAGAACTGAACTTCTTTTCATGGCTTTGTAATAGAAATTGGTTGGATTCAGGTGACCTACAGTACACTGCTTCATTTCATGTTTGATTCACTTCCTGTTCTGCAATCTACTGCTTTTGAGATTATATTAACCAACACCAGTTCCTGGACTACATCATGCTTTATAGCCTAAGCAGTGGAAATCTGACCGGACACCTGACCTTCTGAAATGCATCGCTTTTCTTATTAATCAGAATTTGCATAACCCAAAATGGATCCGACTTCTACGCAACACTGTTCTTGATTCACCCCCAGGAATGCATCTAACAGTGCGTGAACCCGAGTTCCCTCAGAAATGAAGCACGCGGGGACCATCTAAATGAGAGCTTTTTCAGACACACCTGGCTGACAACAACTGCCGAACATAAAACCTTGCATTCCCTTCCTTCAGCACAGAGGGAGCGAGCTGGACTTTGCCCTCCTAGGTGTGGCCTCTGTGTGATCTGTTCCTGCAAATGAGCAGATACAGACTTGCGGTCTCTGGCACTGGGATATCAGTACATGGAGACAGAGCAGAGGCTTTGGTTGCTCGAAAAATGAGAATATCCAGAGCAAACAGGCAGAACTGTAGTACTGTCTGGAAGATTGGAAACACCATTTACTAAGAGACATGGGGAAACCGTAAAGCTCTTCACTGTAAGTCACTACATTCTTGCATCCCTGAATAATTACTCTTCTGTACACTAGACGAGGATATCCTAAAAATGTGGTAGCAGGTCAATACTTCTTCCTTTAACGAGGTCAGTAGTGCAACTGAAGAGAATGTACTTGTTGTTTGATAAACCAGCATGAGGTAATTATAAATTGAAATATGTGGGGTTCTCTTTGAACACCTTATTTTAATCACTGTAAAGGTTTTAAAGGGCAGTCTTTCCCACAATGTAAACAGCAAACCAAATGCACTTGATTGGACTCTCCCCAGCTACGCAGGAGGACAGATTCAGCTCATCAACACCTGTAATAGTTTTAAAGAGGAGTCAATAAACAATTCAGGTGTCTGACGATAATCAGTATTCCTGGGATCTTGCAGGAGGACGAAAACAACAATATTGGCTCTAGTCTCTCTGCAAGAGAAGATACGTGTATACCTGGAAGTTTCACAGTAACCAGAAAATGTAAAAGGCCAATTGATATGACCTGGTACCTTGTACACGTGTAAAATGGCAGACACCAATTACAGTACATAGCTACCTCTTGAATGTCAGTTACTGTTGGAAATAGGTGGTATCAGTTACAGGATGCCAAGATATTAGACAACAGACAATAGATACTAGACAGTTCTAGACAATAAACTAGAATTGACCTTATTGTTCCGTCTTCCACTCTCGTTGTATATGGCATTTCCAAACCTCTCGGTGGTACTGTTCGTCTGTCACATTGGGACCTCAAAACTGAGCATTCTAGCCAGCAAACGAGCTCACCATTGTGAGAGCAGGACTGTGGAGAGGCAGGGGGAATTCAGTTCCCAGTGACTGTTTAAGGCCATTTTTTATACTGTGCATGGGGGGAACCTTTTCAAAACAGCACATTGTCTCTTAGCACTACTGAAGAAACAGTCAACAGGCTCCACATATCTCAAACCTACCCTCCTCTTAGCTATTCTAACCTGAACAGCAAAACTAGGCGCTAAAGTGTTAATCCAAAACCTGCTCTTAAGGTCACAAGACCTTTGTACTTTTCTAACTGTTGTAATGCCTGTACAAACCAACACCCAGACCTCCGTAAACACAGAGAAAACAACGCAAAAATATATTTCTCATTACCTGATGGTGGTGAATAACAAGCCAACTCGGATTGAATTACCTTCTTAATCTTGTTCCCCCCCATTTGAACTCTGCATTTTCACGACCCCAGCGAAAAATCACCCCGTTGACTCATTGACTAACGAACGCATTTATTCATCTCTCCTCTTGGATTCAAGTACATTGAAGTATATTTAAAATACTCTCTGCGCCGAAACCAGTGTTCGCTTTCCTGCACCTCCCGTGGGTTGTAAACATTATATAAATCACAGCACAACATTTTCAATTACAAAAGAAACAGAATAAATCGTCAGGTAGAAAAATATGTTAGAAGTTTCTCTCTCATAGTGCATATGATCGCGTAGGCTACAGTAAAAAAACAAAAGGCCTTTGGTTTCAAGACAATCGGTTTTCTTAGTCGAGCGTATACAAAACGTCCGTACAATCACACGTCCGTCTGGGAGCTGGGGCCGAGTTTCCTGTAGACGCAGTGAACGACCACAACGAGCAGCATTTCCGAGGTGCTGCTCAGAGCCACGATGAAGGGCGCTTGGGAGGCGAAATCCGCTTCCGTGCGGCGGAAGGACAGCTGCATGACGGCCAGCGCCAGGAGGCTGTTCTGCACGCCAATCTCGATGCTGACCGTCTTCCGGTGGGGCAGCGACAGCCTGCAAACGGACGCCAGCAGGTAACCCAAGACCAGCCCGAAAAGTGGCACTGTCACCCCGACCGCGATGATCTGCGGCCGGACGTTGGCGAGTATGGAGGAGCCCATCTGGTACGCCATGAAAATGCCCCCGACGATCAGGATGAAGCTGAAGGGGCGGATGAACCCGAGCAGGACCCGGGAGACGCTGGGGAGTTTGCACTTGATGGCCATGCCCGTGGAGATGGGGATGGCGATGAAGAGCAGAGTGATGAGGATTTTGACGAAGGGCACATGCAGCGTTTCGTGCACGTTCAGCAGGCGCCCGTAGATGGTGGAGGAGAGGGGCATCATGCCGGTGGCCACCACGGTGGAGATCAGCGTCATGGAGATGGCGAGGGTCACGTCCCCGCCCAGCAGCAGGCTGTAGAGGTAGCCCCCTCCTCCCCCGGGCGCAGAACAAGTGATCACCAGCCCCAGGGACAGGGCCTTAGGTAGAGCCGCCAGCCGGGACAGGGCGTAGGCGTACAGGGGCATCACCACAAACTGCCCGGCTATCCCCAGCAGGACCGCGTGGGGCTGCCGGAGCAGCCCTCGGAGCACGTCGATCTCAACCTTGCAGCCGAAGGCGCATTTGTTGATGAAAATCAGAGGCAGGAGGGCGAAGAGCACGGGGTTTTCGGAAAAGTGAGACAGCCCGCCGGGGTTCATCAGCACCGCGTCATCGCTGGGAGCCACCCTGATAATATAATCCTTTCTCTCTTCTATAATCTCCCGATTGGAGTCCTTGTCCAGCCCCACCAGCTGGATTAGTAACGGGGCCGTCCCGGCGAGACCGGATCTAATACTGATCACGTAACTTTTCACCGGCCCAACACTCCCGCTGTCGCTCACGTTTAAAATGGTTAAAACATCGGTGTCCAGGGACTTCACATTCACCGTCTGCCTCCAGCTCTCGCCGCCCTTCCTGGGAGCGCTCCTGTACCGGCTGGATATCACGATCACCCCCTTGGTGTTCTCGGGGAAGTCGAATTCACGGGAAGCCCCATCCCCGATGTTGATGTACCTCCGTTGGCCGTCGTCCACCTGCGCTGTCCAGTTGCCGTAGCCCTCGTCGGCCAGGTCCGTGCCTCCGGTTACCGAGAACAAACAACAGACGGCTAGTAGCGTCCTCATCGCTTTGTTTTCAGGGAGGGCTGAGGCTGATAACGCCGTAGAAGACAGGCGTCTGCCCAGCTTGTCAGTGACAGCACCCTTACTCACCGCAAGCGGAAAGAGCTGAACTGCTCCACAGGCTCCCAGTCGGGCTCAGGCGTCGGGAATCCTCTGGATGTCCATGTAGTCATCTTATTTTCTCCACGCATGCAAACGTCACCTCTTCAGATCTGAGCACGAATTCTCACGTTCAATCGATTTGACCTGGTTCCTGCTTTCTCTTCCGGGCAGACACCAGATCGATCCGAGCGCTGCTCCCATCTGGTCGGTCGGTGTGGCTCTCCTGCGCTCACTCTCTAAGCCCGTCACCTAATCCAATCACAACAGCCCAGGGCTTTAACCCTCTCGGTTCTGCTTTGTAGGCGCTGCTTTAATGGGGAACCGGTTGCTGCCACAGCCCCATCCGATACACGGCGATTGAGCGAATGATGCCCGTAATCTGAGCGCAGGACGCGCACCGCCAATTCAGAATAAAACAGACTAGCGGCCTGTTGCTTTTGACAAAATAGCCTATTTCTTTCGAATTTCGAACTGTGATCGACAAAAATAAAACGGAAAGGCAAAAAGAAAAAAAACAACAACGTGTGTTGCTGTGCCGGGATTTGTAAAAAAAATAATAATAATCATCTCAATCTAACAACCGCCCCTTTCACGTCCTTTTAGTGTGATTAACAATTAAAGGTTGCGAACGATTTCTTCGTTGAAATGGTTCCAAGATTAGGTGAGTGTGTGAGGTGAAGGCATTGCTACCAGGTTGGGGACACAACTGGAGAAAATGCCCCCCCATGAGCAACACCCAGTGTGAGGGTGATCTATCAATGTATACTGTAGGTCTAAGCAAATTCGCTTTTAAAAATGTACCAGAGACCTTCATTCCGGTCTAGTTTAAACCCATGTGGAGTTTCATTTAATAAAAGAGGAAATAACATACCACAAACCAGGCCTAGAGCTGGAGTTTCCTCTACAGCTCATTTCTGGTAACTCAACAAAGGGGAAGTCAAATGACATGTTGCACTAGCGGTGTTATTACCTTAATAACCGCTTTCTTTCATATCCTGGGTTCTTATTACGATATTTCGGTGTAATTGTAGCTGGATATTCCCTAGAGCCTTTCAATTCCACTTCGAAATTCACGCTTCGTTACAGAAGTTCAACACCCAATATGCACTTATCGCCCTTTAGAAAACAAAACCCGACAATTTCTCTCCTGAACTACACTGTGATCCAATATCGCTGAAACTCGAACCCCTCGAGACTGTCCTGCATTCAGACTTTACTCCACAGGCCTCTTTTGCTGAACAACAATACCTTATCGTTTGTCAGGTAGAAGAGATCTACGGATTGGCTCCTGCGATTTACTACTTCTTACTTGCAAAAGTATCGTGCAGCCCAACGCATGCATAATACTTCTCAATAATATAATACACAAACAGGACATAATAACCTACGGTAAGGCTCTAGAAACCAAGGAAAGACAATGTGTTTAATTTATACAAAGTGACAGCTTTGTTGCTACGACTTTCGGTTTTGTTTCTTGTCAGTACAACATCTCTTCACGTTTCCTGTGCTTGTCAAGTGTTGTTCTCAAGTCAACACCTTTGTTGCTACTGGGGAAACAGGAATTTTAAAACAATTACTAATAAATGGACTATATATGGACTAATATATGCAATTTAATTTAAGATTTGCCGGTCTGCATAACAGGGCAATTTGAGGTTCAAGATACTTGAGACCAGTGGTCCCCAGGACTTGTTAATAACCATGGTCTTGACAGTTCAAATGGAATTTGTAATTGGGATCGACCCACTACCAGTGTCTGAGGTTGAGGGAGACACGGGTCATTTTTTTTTGTAGTTACCTCTTCCATCTGTTTCATCTATAACGTATGCTGAGACATATGAATGTCCTGTGCTAATCTGACAACAAAGCCAACTGATAACCCAACGAGAAGGTGAAACAGACTAGAGTTTAAAACTACAGAGCATTATTTGAGTCCTGTACACTCTTTTTATATATATCTAACATCAGATACAGAACATCCATTGTGCTCCGAAGAACAGGACAGAACTCCCACAGAGAATGACCCCTTCCAGAGAAGACTAGGAGTTTGTGTTTTACATCCTGTGCTGAAGAGCTTGTCAAGCACTCTTATGACCACAGACTGAAATGGGAACATTTCAGCTCTTATCTTCTTTTGTGACATGAAGAAGACAAGCCCTAAAGCCTCCCTCTGGAACAGTTGCTTGATCGTGTTGGAGACTGTTTGAGCAGCTGGCATCTCGTTAAGTCTGCTGGCATGTTCACACTTGAGTGGGTGGTGTGTGATCACTCTCTTGCAATGCCTATAACCTCCCAGGGAAGGCCGTAAAGGCCAAAAAAGGTACAAATTGGATATAATATGCAATTATCTTACCAACAAAGTGACTTTTTTTCAAAATGGGAATTGTTTGCCACTGATTTCATGATTTACATTATTTTTTTTAAGGCCCGCAAGAATTAAGGCCACACTATTTCAATCTTACTTGAATTAAGGACTTTGAATTGTGGGGGAGTTAATAGGGGAATTCATTTAAAAAAAATAATATTCCAAAAAGCTCTGGGGGTAAGAAGGCATGGGGTCCTGAGCTGTGTGAGACTGGGCTGCTGTAAAGGGGGCAGAGCTCCTGTGTGGTGGTAATCTCTGGGCTGTGCACCTAATAAACAGTAAGCAGCCCATAGTGAGGGTGTTTCCATGAATCGTATCTATATTTCTAAAAAGCAGGACAAAAATACAGCAGCAACGCAAACGCAGGACAAAGCTAAGGTTTTAGAAAATTTGTGGTGGCCATGAACTGACACCTAAAAATGGGACAGTCCAGCCTACTGGGTTCTGCAATTTCAGACCATCTCATAATCACCCGTGCGCCTTTAAGTTTATAATGCTTTTTTTCTCTTCCAGTGATCTCATTGCTCTCATTTTTCTATATTAAGTTACATGTCCTATTATGCAAAGTCTTATGACAATGGCACAATGTGCATGATTTTCAAAAACCGCAAAAGTCAGTTGTAGGACAGTCAAAACCAGGCACCTCAGGCTGGGTGATCCTTTCGTACCTCTACCCTGGTGTCAAAGATCAGTAAAGCAAAGAGAACAAAGCCAACAGAAAGCACTGTAGATCAACAAAACCTGCAGTATTTCACAGGAAAGCCCTGCATTTACTGTACGTTTCAGGGACTTTGAGTTGCAAAGTCGGGTCAGCTGAGCTATAGGGAGCTGAAACATTAACTTTTATTTGCAGGAGTGTTCCCGATCTGTTTGTTATGTATGGGCTTGACCCTTTCCCATGTATCTGCAGACCTAGACTAAACTCATAGCTGTGCAATTACTTCTCTTTTCAGGAGATGTTTTTATCAGCATGATGACTCAACACTTTTAGATGACTCAACACTTCTAGCGCATGCTTATTAGAAGAAGTGTGTGAATACTGCCCCCTCCCCACCAGTACCAGGACTAGACACCCCTGAACAGTATTGCGAATAGAGGCAGTATGAATCGAAAAAGCAGACAATTTGTCCGTACGCTTGATCTGAAACTGCTTTGAGTCTCAGTGCAAATCCAAGAGTTTCAGTTGTCCTTGTCCATGAGAGATTATATTCCAATGTTTTAAAAAATAACAGCACTTGCATCTGGTATGCATTTCACAGGCCAGAGTGCTTCCCTACCATACATGAGCAAACTCTCCACTCTGGTATATAACAAGAGAACTCTTACAGATCAGGATGGTTCAATTTTATTGTAGGTAAGTTGATTTGGTCACGATATTGTAAGGTGGACACCTTGCAGAATATCACAAGTAGGCAGAAGTTACACTTTAAATACAGCACTGGTGGCATTGATCTTAAATTAACAACCTCAGAAATGAATTTGGTGTTAATGTGGACAATAATAATATTGATAATACTAGCTTTTATTTATAAAGCACCTTTCCAAACCCAATTTGGAAAACAAAAAGTGAGAACAGTAATAACACGAAAGGAAGTTTAAGATGTGTCGGATCATATCATGCTAAAATCTAATTTAGAATGCTGCATATTATTTTGGTTATCTTATTACAATATGGAAAAAGGGAACTAAAGAACACAGATGTAAGTGTAAGACGTCTTACACCGAAAGCTGGGAGACTGCTTTCACAGAATGGAGGCAATGTTGGAAAACAGTACACAGGGGACATACAGCCTGAACATGAACTTCAGGAAGAGCTTTGATTATTTCTAGATTGAATCTTTAGCAAAGAAGGAGGATTCATGCAGTGACAAGAAAGTAGTCAGTCCTTGGCAAAGCGTGTTTTTGGGAGATTAAAGATCCAGCCTGGAGGTTAGACACAGGAGTTATGAAGAATGTATTGTGACACTCCTCTCTTAATCACACTGCAATGAAATATTCTAAAATCGAAAGAATGCAAAATCTTGATCTTAACAAAAAAGAACGTCTGCTAAGTCTGATTCACAGTTGAATAATCTTTGCTCGGATGTCAATAGCTTTTTTTCGTTCTACAGAGCTAGATACAAGTAAATCAGACAGTTTATGAAGCACAACGGAGAGTGATCTTTTAAGAAGCATTTTACCACAATTCTGGGGATGAAGACACATGTTCCAGGGGTTTTGTTGTTGTGGTCTATCCCTACATGTGCATCTTCGGAGCTTGGGGCAAAATGAGCTGCAAGAACAGGTTGAGCAGGATGTGGCCTGGATCCAGAGAGGCTTATAAACATTTCAAGCTCAATCCCAAGCCATTATTCCGGAAGGTTCACCTTTCATGAGAGCAAACAATGAAGGAAAAGCTGTGAGATCCAGAAAATGGCCAGGAAGTTTTTTTTTTACATTTTTTTAAAAGTGAGAGGATCATAAATTTAGAAAGATCTCTTTAGAATTGAAATATCTACAATCCCAAAGGGCTTTCTTAGAGTCTTAAATCGAAACGTACTGTATGTTGTGGCCAGAAACACAATATAGGGATGCTCTCTATTTTGCTCCTTTTCCAAAGCTGTTACGACCTGGGCAAAAACATCAATACGCAAATCTGAAGGATTTATTTTATAAAAGAAACCTCCTGTCAGTGATTATGGCTTAGCTGCAGTGCAGACCAGGAGTATAAGACTAAGATCAGCTTGTATAAAAGGGCTGTTTTCAGCAGGGATGGGATTATTCACTGGTGCTTTGCTGCACAACAGGAATATAGCAGACATCAGACTGGTGTGAATTTACAGAAAGCTGGGGGAGGCAATTCGATATGTTTACTAAGGAATTGTACGAAAACCCTTTTTAATAATTTAAGAAGATAAATCAATCGAGAACAAACTCTCATTTACAGCGACGATCTGGAGACAGGGAATTTACTGGAGCTGTCAGGATGAACCCGTGACCCTCTGGTCCAGAGTCCACAGCCCCTCTGACCACTGCACTGCCTTCTGCTCACAGTTTGTTAGCTCTTACCGGTCACGTGATTGGACAGCATTTGGGATTATACCTTTAATCCCTTCTTTCGGTTATTTTAGACTTTGAAATAGCATTTTAGTAAAGAACTACAGGCGTGGGCTTAAGCCTTCTTGATGGGAATTCAGATATTTGCATTGAGAAAAATATATCGGAAATGCTCGGGAATCCTCATTGCTCTGCTCTGAATCCACCACCATGAAGCCTCATACATTCAAATGCTGTGAACGCTAGGTTTCCATAGCAACAAATGGAGGAGGGGGGTGGTAGATCTGCGTCACAGTTCTGTTTCCCTGTTTCATATCTACTGAATGTGTGAGCGGCGAAGATTCACAAATCAGAAAATTCCAGCTGGCCGCAATGGATTACTGTATAAAGGCCAGTGCCACAGGATGTAACGTGTTCACCTATAAATTAAAAAAGCACACTGCTCGGCTTGGCGTACTCAGAGGTAAGGAAATAAAGAACTAACCTTCATTTTATCACTTAATTCAGTGATGTACCGGGTACAATTACAACACTAGGTGACAAATCATTGATATTGGGGAGGGACACACAAAAACTACCTAAACTCTTCAGCCATAACTTGGTTTACGTGTGATATGACATCTTCACATACCCTGTCTGAAAACATGATTTCACTAGGCAAATTCACACTTTCTTCTATGACTTTTCCTTTTCAACACTGAGTAAACCATACCGCCTAAGCAGCTAGCAACAACAGGTACTTCTCCTCATCCCTGAAATCTGTCTTCTAGTTTACTGCAGCAAGTAAAGACAGAAGTAAAGATGGTTTCTCTTCCGGTTTGTCCAACCTCTCTGGGCTCCTCTGCAATGTGATGTTGTCAGTCTGGAAGGCAGTCGGGGGGGGTTCTGGGCCATCAATGCAGTTACTAACCGTCTAACAGGAGCCTTTGTTTTGTGGCAGAGCAGGCCAGCTGCAGTGCTCTGTGGGGAGATTTCCACTGGAGAGGCAGTCACAGTCTGAACTTAAAGACATGCTTGCAACAGGCTCCTGCTTACACAATGTACTCAGCAAAAGGAAGACTGCTGGGCTCATAGACTACTGTTTAAGAGCAGACAGGTAAAGAAGAGGTATATTTTCCCTACTTGAAATATAGGGTGTTTAAAATGACTATCACCATCCATTGGAGTCTTCAGTGCTTCTGAAATATCAGAACACCATTAAGCAAAACAAACAAGCTAAGTAGTGCATTTCTTACTTAATAAACTATTTTATGTATTAAAAAGTTCTATATGGCCTTGATGAAGACCAGCTGTTAAGCTAAAACATTGAACAATCCGCTTTGTCTCCATACAAAGTATCTTTCATTACAGTGAGTGTGGCACTTTATTCTATAATTTTCATGCCTGCAGTTTAGCTCTGCCAATGTCAGAAATGTTTCACATTTCTAAAACTCTGCAGATAATTAGAAGCTTTTCTGTGGTCTATTGATGAAAGACAAAGACACAGTATTCCATTTCAACATATAATTATATGAAGTTTAAAATGAAAGTCTAGGAGCAAAGATAAGCCCAACTCAGCCATTAAACACACCCAGTCCATGAATGTGGTCTTCCCACCTCCACCTCTGCCCTTATTGCACATGGGGAGCTTTGACTTCGTCCTTCTGGCCTGATTACTACCCCTCAGCCGAATGGATTCATGAAAAAAGCTTGCTGTACCCGCTTGCATAATGACACAAATCCATTAAATTGTGGGCTACTCCAGAACCAGCTGTAGTTAAAAATAAAAAGAAACGAAACCCAAAAAGATCCTCAGATCAGCACACTGCTAACAACCAAACAAGGGAGACCTTTCAACTTCCTCTTATTCCATTAGTCGTGTAATACAGCTCACAGGAACAGTACAAATTAATGACTTTTGAAATGGTAAAAAGCGGAGAGACAAACTCCGCAGTCACTTTGTTTTTATCCTTGTGCATTTTAATGAACAGGTTCCTGTTGGTACTTCCTGGCACTTAAGTGGTTTAGTCTGTATTTAATTGCTGAAAAACTCTGATGATACACCACAGCCCTGGAGGGAGCTGGTGGGTCTCGACTGAAGGAAATCAATCAGACTGGCCATGAAGTTACTTTACAGACATGATCAGGTTTATTATCTGTAGATGCGGATTCAGTACCAGGCTAACAGAGTGCACACTTTTTACGCTGTGCATAACAAGTTGGGATGCCTGCCTGCATTGGTTGCCTGCCAAGCAGTCCCATATTTTTTTTTCACAAAGCAGATGCACAATCAACAGTGCTGCTTTTACAGAGCAGCAGGAAGTGGCATTTCACAGCATTCTTTTGTTTTGGGGTGGGGGGTACATTCTTCCATTTTCTCTTGCCATTACATGCATGCTGCTTCCTCACCCTCTTACACAAAGATGGACACCTTTTCACTTGTAACGATGCTCTACAGTTCGGGGACCAACAGACACAACGACACCTTTTAGTCTCTTTTTCGTGGTGGACTTGTTTGTTTGCAGCTCACACACTGAAGCAGCTACCCGCTCATCCCTCTACTGCCAAAATAGCAGTCTCACAAACACTAAAGGGTCACAAACAAGTAAATGTATCGCTTTTAAAGAAGGTGCTTAAACTTTAAGACATCACCAGTGTAGTTCCCTGCTGGATGAGGGTGAGGTAAAATAGACTTCAGTGCCAAATCCTTAAAACTGTTCAGCTATAGGCACACAAAGTGCAATGTCAATAAAATCTGTTGCGCTTACAATACAGGCAATTCTCATTGCATGGGCAGCTGTGCTGAAAATAAAAAAGATCTTTCTATTTAGGCCGACTGGTTTCATCAGCATTTTCACAAAAACAGAGAATGCTAATCAGCTTTTAGTGCCTATTGATTTGGGTCTTTAAATAGCAGTATATCCCCAATTCGACTGCTGGACCACGGAGCACAGAATCATGTGACAAAGCCCAGGCAGAGTTGCATTACAGCTTTAATAGGGTTTATTTCAAATTAAAAACATATAAAACCAAAAGATTACCATCAACCTTTATATAGCTCTGAACATAAATAACCACTCCCCCCCCCCGAGAAACAAATCAAATGAAAACTAAAAGGAGATACGATGTAAATTAATCAAAATGTATTTTGATGCACCCAATGATTGTGCCCACTAAGAACTACTACTGGCACGCGCAAAAACCTCTGCCAAATGCACAATGCACCACGCAAGGTAATCCTTGTTGAATTGTGACAAGCAGAGTTAGGAAGGCTTTAATGAGATCAAATTTGCCATCTTTTCCTTGCACATAGCCCTCTATATCTCTAGTCTAGAGAGAGTTTCTTTTTCAGGCACTGTAGAATTGCAGAGCTCCTAGGCAAGCAGCTGAATCCATATAAGGCAAAAATAAAAACAAGTTGAAGTATTCTACAATTTGTAACGATACAAGCATTGTTTAACGCTGCATTAGTTTTTCCCAACACAATAGCTCCCTTCAAAACTGTACTTCTAGACTCCATGACAGGCTGGGTTTTGAACACGGTTCCCAACAGCAAAATTAAATGCTGTATACCAGTTGGGTACAGCAGTTTGCCGAACATCACTGTTAGTGTTATTAAGAAGATCTGCGCAGATATTTTTACCCAGAGAAGCCTGTGAGCTTTGTGCTCACACCCTAAGGACGCATGCCGAGGGACCTGCCAGTTGTGAAGGGATTTGTGACCCTTTGGCCTTGTCAACTGCATGAAGGATTTAAAGCAGACATGGGGGAGCATGGTCTTTATGGTAAAGCATAACCACTGTTCGTGCCACCAAGACCAGAACCTGGGTGCAGTGACTCAAGGAAGGGATGTATACGTTTTTATAATTACCAGATGCAAAATTCTATATATGATTTCATTATCCTGTACTGCACCTGCACAATATTGTTGTAGGCAGGAGGTTTGAAGAATTTCCCTATAACTCTAGAAATGTATGTGTCAAGGGTAATACTGAGCTATTCAGAGGGCACCACTTCTACTCTGCACTGGAGGGATGGTCAGGGAGTGGGAGTCAGTGTGGAATTTCAGAACAGCAAGCAAACTGAGGGACTCAATACCAGCAGAGAAACACGTGCTACTGACACCTCTCAGCAATGAAAAAAAAAAGAAAAAATTCCTATGAAAATCCCATTTGCATACATAAAAATTTGACAGACATATTAGATAGGACAAAAGCAATTCGGAAGCTGATATGAACATGTTAATCGAAAGTGCCCTTTCAATGTGTAATGAACGGATTGTTATATGACACTTTCAATGAATACAACAGCAATAACCTTTACAGCATAAGCCACTCCTGTGCTTTCCAACAAGACCATCTCCTGTGCGTGGTGACTACACAAATTATAGTGCTATTAGAAACCAATGGGGCTGATGGGGAAAAGGCTCAATCATGTTCATTAGCAGCAATTCAGGATTTTCCCATAGAAGAACAGAATTCCCTGTAGAAGTTAAGAGGTGGTGAAGCCAGATCTTCCCCACTAAATTACCCATGCAAACATTTACAGTTGGTGAAACAAGTATATCTGAAAATGATACATATACTCTATATGCCACATTTCAAAATAGCACAGTCTCTGTATACATAAAAACAAACATACAGAGTTCTACATTAGAGAAGTCAAAATAATGTTTTAATTTGTGTTAAGACGGCATTTTTCTCCACCCCTCTCCTGTTTTTGAGTTCAATCTTGCCAAAATAACTACCAAGTATAGTATCCCTTTGAAGAGAACTAAGTCCTGATCATTCTGCAATGCATTATTAAATTCTAGTTTTATAGCATTCGGTGAATCTTCACAAGCTTTGAAAAATCTATACAAAATTGAATTTGTAAAGCTGAAGTACTGTAAATTACAAAAGGAAAAGAAGATTCTTAAGTAAAGAAGAAACTGCAGTTTTCAGATAGCGCGTGGGGCGACCTCTTCATGAGCAGAGAGCACTCTTGGGTTTTCTATTCTCAGACTGGCTTGGATACCTGGCAGCTTCTATTCAAGCATGGTAGAAACCAGCTATAAATAGACGCGGGTGGATCAGTAGCCAAGGGCCACAGTGCATGTATGTAAATTCAAATGAGGAACAAGGAGCTCACACCATCACCTCCAGTCTGTCTGTCGAAGCAATAACAGTGTTTGCTTTCTTGGAAACAATGCAATCTCAGTTCCGTAAAGCAGCCAACCTGTAAAAAAAGATGACAAAAGCCATCATTTCCACACAATATGTCAGAAAGGGAAGATGAAGTGTGCTCCCCGAGCAATCTTTCAGGGAGATGCTGAAACAAATTATTTTATTTTTTTAGTTTTTAGTATTTTTTTAATTTCATGTGTCATCCGAAGCAAGGTGCCTTTTTTTTTTACAGTATAGTAAAAAAGGCCCTACTGGCCCCACTAACACCTCTTCCAGGTGATTATAACTGCTGACTTTTATTTTTGTTTCTCTTCTCTACTTTTCCGTTTTGGGGTTTAAAACCTATATCATCCACGATCACGGGTGTCATTTCTTGAAACAAGGTGGAAACAAACACAAACGCACATTTCAGAACACTGGCGGGTCACGTCATGCAGGGGGGGGGGGGCCCAGTCGCACTGCATGTGTTTTTGTTCACTGCAAGTCACTTGGCAAAATGAATGTGAGCAAATAATATTGCGGGGAACCCTTTCCCTTTCCAGTGTGTGTTTCATAAGACATTACACAGGCCTATAAAACCACTCTTGGCCCCCAGCAAACGAAGCCCCCGTCAGTGAGGCTTTGAGACTCAGTCAGTAAGAGTGGTGTGCGTGAGCGTGTGTGTGTGCTTTGGAAAGGGTGGCGTGTGCGTGTGCGTGCGCGTGTGCTGTGGAAAGGGTGGCGTGTGCGTGTGCGTGTGCTGTGGAAAGGGTGGCGTGTGCGTGTGCGTGTGAGCTCCAGCTGGGCGGGTCGTCGGGTGCGGTGGAAGCTGGTACCTGCGGGACAGCTGGTCCTCCTTATCCAGGGAGCGCGTGGAGCTCTCGCCCACCGCACTGGCCCCGGCGGGCAGCTGGCTGAGCTGGTCCATCACCTCCAGGCCGCTCTCCTCCGCAATCTGCACAATCAGATCGTCCACCTGCTCCTGGGGGGTGGTCAGCGTGGTCGCCGAGCTCATGGAGTCTTCCATCACCTGGAGGCCAAGGGGCAGACAGAACGGCACCACCGTCAAGCTGGGATTTTCACTTTTGTCACACTGCAGGGCTTTTATACATTTTATTGCCTTTCTATAATCAAATGCATAACAAAACCATAGAATTGCACCTCAGGGTGCCAGGATAAAAAAATGAAGGACATAAAGGAAGAAGCAGCCCTACTGTCAACTATATCCTGTGTCACAGAGACTGAAGCTTGACCCCACCAAATCTCTATATACTCCTCTAACAAAGGTGTTCAGGTGGCTCTTTTGTATATATGACTCCAGTCCAAAGACAGCAATCCAAAAAAATTAAGTCAATTTTTAAGGACAGATGAGACCATTATTAAAGGCCAAATGCATAAAGACTTTCCGTTTAGTTTACATCATGTTTTTGACAAGGGTTCATTTTAAATGACCAAGCAGTCAGAACCTCAGTTTAATGCATCAAGTGAAGGATCATGGCACCTCCTACTGCTTAGTGTGGTTTGTAAATTCTGTTGCACCAGCACCACTTACAGGTCAGGTTAGTGTCTGAGAGCTGAAAAGATCAGGCTACCATTTAATCTTCTGAAGATGTTGAAGCATTGTGACCCCACATCATTTGAAAGTTCCACAAAACTCATCCTTCATTTTTGCAGCTGAGTGAGAATTAGCTCTGGCCAGGGCTATAATTGGATAACATTGAAACCCACTCTGTACTTCGATTGGAGGCCTTTAAACAGGGAGACTCACAAGAGCTGAAAGTCATAGTCCTAAAGGATTATATGTGATCAAATCTGGAAATAGGAGCTTCAAATTAAAACAAACCTGGATTACCAACCAAAGAAACAACGAGAAGAATATCAAAAGTTAAATGTCCTTGGAAAAAACTTTGATCTCGTTTAGCATTTACACAGCTCTAAACATTTTAAGAGCCAAAGCTTAAGACTTTATGAGACAGTAAAATACAACTAAGGCAATCAACAACAGGTAATTAGGCTAATTCAGATGCAAAACCCTAGTAAATCCACTTTCACCCCCACTTTTTCCATGACTTTATGAGCCTGAGGAAGTTCCTGGCTAATACTGTCCCAATTTCACTTCAGGGTGCATATCTGCTTTTCCAGCAATCATGCAATGCAGCATTTACAGTTTTTAAGAAAATAAGGATGTTTGACGCATTTTACTACAACTTATTTCTGCTACTTAAGTACAACAAAGCTTTAAAAGTCCTCATCTTATCAGACCAGTAACCATTAACACAGATTGACTGACTCTTTGCTTTTCAGAATGATCTGTCCAAAGTGTCAGTCGGGAGTCTTGAGCCATCTAGACACCAGGATCCCAATAAGCATGATGGGCTCTTTTATATATTTTATTTCCAATGTTCCACAATACAATTTTTTCCCCTGCTGTAGCCACAATTTAAACCACTGTCCCTTTCATACATCTAATCAATAAAATGACTCATACACATTTAGGATGGGTAATGACATTTTAAAAAACGAGAATAAAAACGACCTCTCATTCACTTTACTTTGGTTACTCTATAATGAGCACCGTTAATCGACAGCCCACGATGGGCGTCTCTGAGGACTAATACATCAGATGATTTGAATTATGCTGCGATAATATCAATTGTTTCATGCACCTCAGACTCAGTTTTGCATCTCACTGCTGGCTTAAATTTTGGAAGCCGCTTTATTTTTAAACCTTCTCTTCAGGCTGCCTAATAAGATTCTTCACTCATGCAGCACTGGATCCATTCTACTAACTACTCAGGCTGAGAAACTGAGACAACCATAAGAAACCAGGCAGGATATGAATCCAGTTTAACACTAGAAAGGTTTTAAAGTTAATCAATTTCCTAGAAGTGACACACTTTTTTATAGATAGCAAGTTTACTTAAAACCCAAACCTTATACTGTATACAGAGTGCCTTTGCATAGGCAGACATGTTGAGTTAAAACAGAACGGTGCATTTTTATAGTGCTTCTTTAGGTAAAGACTCTAAAGCTATTCAAGTTTAGCAGTTTTTTTTCTCTGCAGCTCCAGGCATCCACAGTTAATTACTTACACCATATGAAAGCTGTGGCTTTTCACAACTGAAATTAAAAAGAAATTCAGACACAATCCAGCTGTGACACTCCGCCGAGACAGCTCAGCCCTAAATGCTGTGTTTCTCTGGACTCCCAAAGGATCTGTCCCAGTTTGAACAAGCTCTGCTCTCCCCAGAGAACAGGACAACTCAACATCCCTGTGTTACCCCAGCTGTCATGGCCATTTTTAAATCAACAGACTTCATTTTTATCATCAAGATTGTTTCTGAAACAAAACACCACAAAATACACAGGAATTCCTACAGAACAATACAAGGTACAACAACCTACATATTCAAAGTGTTTATGATTGGCTATTTGAGTAGTTTACTGTAGAACTAAGGGGGGATTTTTTCCCCCAGAACACTAAAATCCAAATGTGGACATAAACATACAGAGTGCTTATACACATATCTGCTCATAAAACTGTATCAGGAAAAGTGAATACCATGAAGCAATTACATATGATAAACATACAACTGAAACCATGAGGAACGCACTCCCAGGAACAATAGCAGCACACATCAATGGGGACTAAACTCCCATTCCTCTGGGGCACTCACTGTGTTGCTGGGGTATAAAACTGGCGGTCCAAGGGAATCTGCTGGCTCTGGTCCCGTTTGTAATAGTACTAAATTCATTTGCTCATGCCTTGTAGTGCTCAGTTTTCACAACAGTGGTTAGACTATGCCATTTCATTTTGGTAAGTCTCCATGATAAGACAATCAGACAGTTATAGCATTCCCTACAGTGACTGCACACAGTGAACCTGTGACTAAGAAGGATATCCCATCTTCAAAGGCTGGTGCTACTAAGGAATGTAGCTCTCTGCGCTAACATGTTTGTCAAACAGCCCTCCTGCTGCACACATTTCAACATGCAAATGGTGAAATTAGACATGAGAATGGAATTGCCTGGAAAGCACTTATTTCCAAGGAGCTTGTCAGATCCATTTTATTGATACACCTTCCAGTTCCACTGCTTTGCTGGAGGAATTGTCCAGTTCCATTGTTGACAATTTTACTAGTGCTGATGTTTCAGTTAAACTCTGATCTAATATTAGCTATCGATCCAGTTTTATTTTCATCAGCCTTTGGGGAACAATGTGAAATCAGCAATGTCAGAATGTGAGGTTTCGCTGTCTCTTGAAAAACAAAATGCAGTGGACGTGCACTTTCTGACTAACACAAAAACTCTCCAGCTGGCCCAGTGCATAGAATCAAGCGGATGTCCGTTACAACTCCAGGGAACACTCTGCATCACAGGTTTATTCATTTTAACTTTCACAAGCTGCTGGCGGTTGTAAAAATTGTACAGACGAAGCAGAAAATGATACATCTGATATTAATTTTGCATTTTGGTTTAGCACCTGGCATTGGCATACAGAATACCTTGGACCTCATAAAAAGGTGAAATGAGTAACCTGGTTTAACTACCGTGCCTTAAATGTTGAACTGAAAACGTGTAATTATTTAAGTTAAGGCTATTAACATGAAAACAAACATGATATATTGCAGTTAGCTGGATATACAAATTCATAGAAAAACAGCTGGGGGCTCATAGCTTTATTATTCTTTTTTGTCTAACTTTGGAAAATCAGGCAGCTGCAATAAGTGAGGCTGGTGGACCCATCTTCCTTCTTGACCAGGACCTCCGAAAATCAGAAGCCCTACAGGGATGACTGAGGACATTGTACTGTAGAGGGAGAAGTAATCTCTCACTCCTCTATCTGATATATTTTGTAGTTAGGCTGCTAGTGCAAAATAGCTATAATGTGTCACCCAAGTGGGTTCTGCATTTCAGTAGTTAATTAAGTGGGTGGGTGTGAAGCACTTTAGGATCATTTGAGAGGAAAAGTGCCGTATAAATTCAAATTATTATTATTATAACTGTTTGCAACTACTCATATGATTGCATGCCAAGAACGTTCAGACTTTCTGCTAGGTTTTTTGTTCTTCCAGAATTATTGGAAATCTCAGGAACAGATTTTAATGGGCTATTAATAAATGCAATTTTTCAATTAAAAGACAGTTTCCTTGATCTCAGGTTGTTATTGACACAAAGATGTACTGAAGAGCGCCCTCACTCCTTCCTAAAATGCAGGCCTTATTAACATTTCGTATTAATAACATTACCGATTACACAATAACTAGCACAGAGCAAATGCAAACATGCTCCAATTTACACACAGTGCAACTGTGGATCCCCCTTCATTCCAAATATGCATGTCTGAGGATCTTACCGAAGTGTGAACGTCCAGATTCTGGACCTGGGATTCGAACTTATCCATCACAGCAGACACCTTTTGCAGATCCATTGAGCTGAGAGCTTTGTCCAGAGCCTTGGTGACCTGAGCCATGTTCTTAGTCACCTGAAACAAGCAGGAGGCCTCCAGTCAGTCAAGCCACTGAAATGTACTGCCTGACTCACTCCCCACAGCATTATCAAAAGGAACCCATCTGCAAATTTTGTGCACCCACATCTTATTCCTAGTCTAAATGGTTCCAGCCACACTGAAATGTACATCACTTTTACTGTTGGGCTGTGTTCACCTCAAGGGATTTTGCTTTTTCCTCACAATTACCTAAGAAACCACAATAACCTAAAGATATGTGCAAATTCCCACTGGCTAGGATGCTACTTACCTCCAGCTATGCGAGTAGTGTTATACAGCTGGGTGGACTTTCTTTGCTAAAGGGTACAAAAGTAGCATCTACAGCAGGGACTCAAACCCACATCCTTCCAGTTCCATGAATCCAGAGGTCCAGCCATTACTCTATGCAGCCTCTGGGTTTTGATGATTTAAAGCCACCTCTACAAGGTGCCTGAACGTTCAGATGAACAGTGTAATTGAAACATCTGGGATGAGAAATACTAAAAAATGGCTTTTTCCTAACAAGGAAGTTAGAGCTGAGGCAAACATGGATGGGAATGGTGGTGAAGATCAATGAATTACTGGCACACTTGCAAGTTGAAGGTCAAAGGGTTGACCTGCAGATGCGGTTTTGGGTTAAATACCGGCCAAGTGCAGGTAATGTTTTCTCTGAAAGGTATCGGAGAGGGCTTGCCCTGGACCCGAGGCGGGCAAGGGAGGACGGCAGGCGGACGGCGGAGAGGCTCACCCCCTTCATGGTCACCGCCGTCTGGACCTTGGAGGCCACGGCGTCCACGCGCGAGGCCATGCGCAGCCAGTTCAGGCCCTCGTTCTTCTTGCGGATGGCGTTCTCGGCGTACACGCGGGCGATCTCCACGTTCTTCTGCTGCAGGGCCTGAGGGGAGCGAGCGAGCCAGCTGTGGCAGTGCAGGAACTGGAAACCCAGCCCTTGGGGCACAGCTCCCTTTTGTATCAGACACCACGAGCCTAAACCCAGTCCTCGTTTCCCGTCAAACACCGGTCTTCTCAACACAAAAGCACTGGCTGGCACAGACTGTACTGTGTCAGGCAGAGCTTTTAATCTTTTAAATGTCAGCAATACAGGACTTGGTTAAATCTCCCACGAATCTGTGGATATGCAGTTTGGGGTTGCAAACCTGCACTGAATTTGCTGGGAAACTTACCGTCATGTTTTTTGGCATGATACCTCATCAGAGAACAGAGATCATTACTGCACACTGTACTGTCCAGGAACAGCACTGCCGATGCAGCAGCTAGGAGCTTTTAGTCCCGAGTGAAGAGTGCCACCTACTGGTCAACACAATTCTTTACATTCCGAACACTACTGACAAGACCTCACCTTGCTTACAGATTGCTTCCTTCAGTCTAACACACCGACTGACCTTTTTCACCTTGGCCTGCTCTGTCTTGGAGTCCTTCTCCGCCTTCTTAGCCAGCCTCTCCAGCTGCTTTGAAGTGAACTGAAGGACAGAAAGAAGAGTCTTTAATAAGTGACTGATGAGCCTCACTGCAGGTACAGGGAGTGTAGCTGCAGTGTGACTGCCACCTTCCTGCTTTGTACACAACAATGAAAAGTCTGAGTCCATCCCAGGATGGAACATCTCATCATTCATATCCAGAGTTTGCATAACAGCACCCCTAACTATTGGTCACTGATTTTTCTATTCATGCGTTATTTCTTAATAATGTTTAGATTCATGTTCAAGTCAGACAGAAATTCAATCTGGGAAATCAGACATACAGGGAGCAACAAATATGACATGCAGTACTTGAGGCAGGCATAAAGGTATTGCAAAATCCAAAAACATCACAATAGAGGAAAATGCCTTTCTTACTTTTGTTCCATGTTTTAGTGCATCACTGTATCTGCTATTTGGGTCTCTTCTTCAGTAACATTTTTCACATATACACTAGAGTATTTGTATTCCCCATTACAACTCTTGGACAAGCAACAGATTAAACCCACAAATTCTGTGGCAACCCAGCTCATGATTTATCTCCTCTGTAATGCCAATCTACGGCAGTAGCTATAAATACGCTTTTAGCTAATGTAATTATCCACTGATTACAGTGCCTTGCAGACTGATTATCGCCCCACTCATTTCAGACTGAATTTCAATAAAAATAAACCAGTGACTTCATCGTTCCCATTATAGCTCATTAGTGATGCATATGCGCCTTCCGAGCAGGCGTGACGCAAGCAGCGATCCGTGTACAAGCTCCAGGGAAAGCGCATACGAGAGGCAATAGGACCAGCGGGGAGAAACTGAGGCTTTGGAGCCTGAGAAGCAACCAAAGCAGCTTTGTCACTCTTAATTATGGCATTGTACTGGCTAGCAGTGCAGCCCAGCCTGCCCCACTGCACAGAGAAGCCAGATGGCAGCTAAATTCAGGCCTGCAACTTTCAACAGCTAAGACGCTGGAAGCACTCTGGCTGCCAAAGTCATTTTCTTTGTGAATCTAATTGTTTTTCCATGAGTGCAAAAGAGAAGGACAGATTGCTGCCCTGCCTGTTGTTCAATGGCCACCCATAGACTGAGCTGCTAAATTAAGATTCTCTGCTAATGCCATCTTCATATTACCTTGTTACATCCAATACAGAATTGCATGTCTGAATGAAAGCCCTATGAACTGTTCAGCACAGTAAATACACTTAGTTAAACTATACTTGTTTATCTATGAGAGCTCTTCTAGTAGACTTCGAGGTCTACTGAACACTTGTACTGCATAGCAAGTGTCATTTATACACTCTATTTAATTAACCGGAAACGACAGGCTATAAATACACTATACATTTTTCTACAGAAGTCTAGGGAGGTGCCAAGATAAGCTAAACAGCAGCTTCTAAAAAACAGTGCTCATACAGTATGAAGTTTACATTAGGAAAGTAAATAATATTTAAGAATAACAAGGGTAAGTTAATAAAATTACATAAGTTTGAAGTAAAATGTTAGTGTTGCACTAGGCAAAACAAATGAAGAAATAAAACAGTGGAGGAACTGGAATAATATTACACTATATTAAAAAAATGATAGTTTGTCATGTTACAGTGGATGATATGAATATATAATATATAAAGTCTGGTGGTATTTGTTTAATTTTAAGTCATTATTCAAATGAAACTTTAATTTCCTCAAATGAATTTGTATGCTCCCTAACTGCTAAACAATGGAGGACAGAAAGATGCCAAGAAATCCTACAATGATTACAGATTAGAGAAAGCATTTGGCCACCATTACTGAAATAGTATATAGAATTGATCTGTTAATACCTACAGAACGGTGGCACTGAATTCTTTTACCCTGCAGTGTTCTACGCAGTGTAATGAAGAAAGCCTTTCTGCATTGTGCTGGCACATATACTCAGTTGAAGATGTGCCAAACTTGTGTGAGTATACTCTGAGGATCAGACACAGAATGTTCAGTTTGGACTGAACCAATTTCACTACTGCAGTCAGGTGAGGCTGTTTCTGGTACACATACAGCAGGTAATACGCATATTTAGAGGGTCTGCAGAAAAGAGTTGATCATCTTACTTCTTCTATATTCCTAGAGCCGCTCTATGTTGTGTCTTAGTGCTCCTGGAACAGTAAAAGATAGGACTCCACCAGATCTGAAACCATGCACATGTATTTCTAGGGGTGGGGGTAGGATTAGCATCTGCACACAGATGATCCATGAAGAGAGGAATAACTGGAAAGTGAAACGTCCACAGTCGTGTTGTGCAGTACAGAGCAATTGTCGGCTGCCAGAACTTCAAAACAAGTCCTCTGAATGTTTTCAAAGTGGATGATGTGCATACCAAAACCTTTTTACTCGACAAAACCTCCTAATATCATACACTATAAAGTTATAAGGGAATACAACGATCAGTTCAGTATTATGAAATACCATATCACTAGTGGTGTAATAACAACCTGACAACAGCTGTGAGGTTACAAAGATATACGCACACACACAAATGCCAAAGTGTGATACTCACCTTCAGCTGAAACAATGTATCTGTAAGGAAGGCAAGAAAAAGTCTTTAGCACGAAAGTCTACAAAAAGAGGCATTAGCTGCACACGGCCTCTGCCTGTTCTCATCCTGTGAGCACCTGGATAACCCAAGTGCCCGGGGGCTGTAAACCAGTCCTGGGGGCCACCATCCAGCAGATTTTCCCTTCAGCACAACTCTTAATCTAATTAAATTATTGTCTTAAATGGAACAGTCTAAGATATTTTCCTGGCTCTTCAAGTGACGCAAATGTAAAGAGCTGTTGATGCAGAGCTGTGAGCCATGTACGGCAATTAATGCAGAGGAACCAATCACCTAAAACATGTCACAGTGACAGTTTTTCCCAGGAAACCCCACTCAGACCCACTTCCAGAGGCTTCCTCCTAAAGACTGTGCTCAAGAAACAGGCTGCAGAGCTGCAGAGCATGCCTGCCCACCTCATCTGCAGCCCCTGGAGGACACTGGTGTTTTGCACTTAAGAAACGGGGCATTACAAAGCATTAAAGTCACAAATAACAGGTGCTTGCCAAGCTTGGAACTCTGCCTATTTAGTTTCTGTCTACAGGAAGTGGGTACATTTCCACTGCACAGAAAATATAAGCAGGTAGTCAAAAATACAATGGTATTGTTTGTTTGTTTTTTAACAAAACTTTGTGTTTTTCAAATAAAACCGCAAGGGAATGTTTGATGCCATTGCGTTACTAAATCGCAGATGGTCGCACTCCTAGTTCACTAAATCTGTACCATAAGAGAACTGTGAGAAAAAAGTCCTTAATCGATAATCGGTGGGATCAATTCATTAGGCGCTGGCTGCTCTTAACTACTGGAGATTCCAAAACTCATTGGTCCCGAGACGATTGCGTAGTCGGGATTCACTGCCGCATGACGTAATTCCACAATGGGTTTAAAGGGCGTGTTAAACACAGCTCACCTCCGGTTAGGTGTGTCACGTTACATTTCTCTAAACCGCGGATTAACCGAACTCCCGTAACCTTAAATTAATGGGATTCAAGCCCTGGGAGTCAAAATTGCACCCCAACTACCCAAGACACGTCCTGAATTGTGCTACGTTAAAAGCAATATATACATAATGGTTTACACCCCTTTTAATATCGCAACGAGTTCATAACATAGCTGCAGATATAATAATCATAATAATTGCTTACACTTATATAGCGCTTTTCTGGACACTCCACTCAAAGCGCTTTGACTAATATAGTATCAAAGCGTAATATGATCTGATTCTTTTTTCTAGGGTTTTACGCAGAAAACATGCCCGTCTCTCCCTGAAGGATAATCCTACATAGACGGGAAAGTGACTTTCACTTATCCGACTAAGACTAAGCCTATATACCGTAGAGCAGGCTGTCTACCAATGCGGCCGGGATTTTAACCTAGAAACAGAAACATTTACAACAGTCATCTTCACATGACTTCAGTTCATTATCTTGGGCTGGTGATGTTTATTCTTGTCATCTCCGAAACTGAATAACATATGAACAGATTTCTGGTAATAAACAAGCACGCCCTTTTCGTAATTAAAAATATTACTCTTACCATCCATGACGTCAGGCGTACAGAAGTCTTAAATGCGGATTTTCAATACAAACGCAATTAAACGAGTTCTACTGTAAAATTCAGTTGGTTTCTACCGATAGTAAACACTAATATTCGTCCCTTTCTTCCTCTTCCTGTCTCGGGGCACGGAAGGGGAAACACGTGACAGGGACGACCTCTCGAGATAGAGAAATGAAGCCATTCGAGGAGCGGCCATGGTCAAGATCACGTGACGGTGATTTGCGACCAGGTGCAAGTTTTGTGAGATTCTAGGTCGGCATATTGCGAGGTGGAATTCTTAATCAGTTATTAGTAGTAATTACTGTTAAAAAGTTCCACTTCCAACTCTGTGTGGCCGACATTTCCATTGCATTAAGGAGAAAATAAAGAATTAATCCCAATTTAATTAACAAGCCCTTGTTGGAATCTATTGGTAAACACTAATAGATACACACCTGAAAAAGTCTCCACAGCCGACACGTTGTCTCTTTTCTTTTGCTTTCAGCATGGAATAAACCTTCACCTGTTCCATTAATAGATTATCACTAATAATAATAGTAATAATTCTTCTTCATTTGATTATTATTATTATTATTATTATTATTATTATTATATCATTTTATTATTATATAAGGTACGGGGGAAGACGAGATAAAGAAGACAGACTGGAGAAGAGTGGAGGAGACAACGGCAGGCGGGAACTAATGTTTACTCATTAGTAATTCATACTAATCAGATACAGTATTTGCTGATACAGGGCACCTGTGGAGGTGCTGCAGTAACCTTATAATACATTAAACTAAATGATATTTTGTAAGATTATTGCAGGTACAAGAGGTACAATGATTAAAATCGTCTGGCAAGTCAGAAGAAACATTGAACACACCATAAATACCCAAATAAAAAAATGCACACCGATAAAAAAAATACCCTGCTTCTTCAACACTGACTTTATTGTTATAGATGATGCAGGTTCGGCTCCACCGCAGTGAGCGCCCCCTGCCGGCCACAGAGCCGAGCCTTTGCGCTCGGGATTATTTAAATGTCTAATGGGGGTTGTCCTGCGCAAACACTCTGAACATGCAGGTGAGAAATTACATTATTTTTAAACGATCCAGCGGTTTGTTCAAACCGCGCCGCGCTTCTCTACGGATGGGATTGGCATCGCATCTCTCGGGGGACATTCCCGCGGGCAGCTTGTTGAACGGAGTGATGGAGCAAGAAAGTTGCTCACGCTTCGGCTAAAGAGGTTGTCAGAAATCTACGTCTCTGAAGTAGCAACTGGGACTTCCACTCATCATTAATGACTTTAAAGATTCTTGACTTTATTTTACCACTACGATAAATAATGGAGATGGGGGAATGTTTAACAGTTAGCTGACAAAAGAGGTAACTGCTCGGTTTTGTACAGTTATTTTAATAACGGGCACGGAATGGTATCGGTTCTTTGTTCACTTTTGACACGCACTGGCACGTTTCAGCCGATATAATGTCTGTTAATATTTGTTTTAACGTGGTGTAGCTCTTCGTTGAAATCGAAGGAGTTTTTATGTGGAATGCAGCTTTATGTAGCTCTAATCGCTCATCGGGTGTGCATTAATTGTCACAAACCCTAATATGGTATATACACTAATCCATTTACAGTGTTCTAATGGGATTCCAGTTGGTGGAACAGGCTATTTTAAGGTAGATTCGTGTTAAATTGTACAACTAAGTGTAGCCACAGTAGATACATTGCATTTGTCGTTACAGGGATATTGTATCTTATTATAATAAACAGTAGAGGTGATGACACTAGCTTCAAAACGTTTCACGTCAGCATATGATGCAGTCGTCACAAAACAATCTGAGATCTTAATCTCCCCCCTCAGGAATTAAGTTGTTTGCTGTAGCATTGTAACTGAATGAGTTGCAGCGTTTGTTTTCAAATGTGATTTTGCTTCCTTTTAGTGAATTGGCTGAGGAAAACACACTGGAGAACAAACTGCTTATAGTCTAAAACACCTGTCGTTTTGTAATCGAGTATATAGATATTTTAAGATTAACTGAAAAAATAGTACAGGTGACATTTTAAAATACACATTAATATTTTACAGCAAAATAGTTTGGATATATGTATTCTGAGATAATGTCATGCGTGACTTTGAAACGAGTTTCTAAGTGTAAAAAACGAATGCACGTCATTTTGCAACATAAAAGATTATATATGAAAACCGAACAATTTACATTAAATTAGTTCTACTGAAAACTGAACTCGAATGAAGATTGAATTGCTCATAAGAAACTGAAAAGGTTATCTATCCATCGCATTTTGATCTTGATAAAAAAAAACTATTGATCTGAAACCCAGACATGAGTAACGTAAATCTGGGGAATCAATGACAGATATCAGCAATCGAGGGTTAAATGATTTGTTGTATATTGCTGCCTACGGTCACCTGTGTCGACATTTAGGGCTCCCGTTACGCGTTTGTATTGTTCATTTACAGTGTATTCACCATTTACAATTCTGTTAGATCTGATCAGATCTGCATACATGCATCGTAACAGTATCATCATTCCCGCCCTCCTCCAAGCACCCGAGCCATCACAGTTACGACAGGAGGGAGCAGGACCGGCAGAACCGAGCGGTACCGAATCGCCGGCTCGGAGGAAGGCGACCCCACCCGCGATAATAGTGACCGCCCCCTCAAACGAGGACCTCCGCCAAGTGCCCCCAGACTCGCCCCGGACTGTGGTGAGGGAGCCCCGGCCCGGGGTGCCCTTCTACGCCGGTGCCGGCCGTCCTTTCGCACCCAAACCGCCGCAGATGAACTGAACCCCAACCGGTAATCGACGCGCCTGCCACCACCACCGAGTGTGTACACAAAGATAATCTGGGACGGTTTTAAACGATACAGTCATTCTCAGGTGGGGTCCCCAGGAGCAGTTCAGGGGATCCCCAAACAGAGGGAACCTGCTCACCCCGAGTCTATTTCTACCCTCTGAAAAAAGGTGGGTCGGTCCTGCCTTTTTTTTAATGTCATTGCGAAGATGCCATTATCTCTAACAACTGCAGACCTCAATTGAATTTAAATATTTAAATCGAGGAGTTCTTGTTAAGAGGGATTTCTTGAAAAGGTCTGTTTTACACCCAGTTCGTTTTTTATTTTTTAATTATTCGAAAACAAGGTTTTGCGTCCTGAAATCATTAAAATCGCGAACCGTTTAGTTAACTCTCTTGGCGGACGTTTGTTGGCTTCAGTACTGGCAATGCTGGTTTTTCGCTTCGCTCCGAAACGAACTGGGATTCTCGCAGTAGCTCGATGAACAGGACAGTGCTTTCAGTCCGTATGCACCGCGGACACAACGTAACTCAAAGCGGTGAGTGCGCTTGTGCGGTGGACAAGCAAGGCACTCAGGGTTGGATCATGGTTGTCCACCCAGTGAGTGAGCTCAGTGATGATGCGTGCTGCGAGCCCTGGCGTGGTAGATGGAGACAGCTCTTAGGGAATTGAATGTCTGCTATTTCTTCCCTACATAACGTCGTCACAGCAAAGATTAAAGCTTGGACTGGGGTGCTGGGCCGTTGCAAGCATGGACTTCTCCGAAGCGGAGCCAGATGCCATCAAACTGAGATCAATCAAGAACGAGAAAACATTCACCGTTCCGCAGCAGGACAGGGTAAACACACTGCACGTCTAGACCCCGGGTTTGCGCGTTTTAGTGATTTCTGTCGCAGCTTGGAGTGCTAGAAAAAGGCTTTCCCTATTTTGCCGAAATATCAGAACGTGTTTCCGAAAGTATTACCTTTGTGCTCCATTCCCTTGTCACTTAATGTACTTATATCAGCCGGTCGGTCCCTGAAAGACACGATGCAGTATGTAATCTGCTTACATGTGTCATTGTCTGGTGGGAAAACACAGGGAAACAGAGCCAATGCATTTTGTTGTGAAACGTAACGTGCATTGTGTATTTCGTCTCCTGGCCAAATCAGCGACACAATAGACGATCTGTCCCAGTAGATCCCAATGTTATTGACATTCATTTCCATGCACTCCCGACAGCCGTCTGGAGCTGGAGAGCTTTATGTTTTGATTGGTCTGCAGAGGCTAAGACAACAGGAAATGTGACTTCTGGACCAGGGACTACTCTTAAATAACAACGCTTTTGTTAGAACTGTTTGTAATGTGTAAACAAATACAAAAGACCTGTTGCTGTTAATAAAGAGTCCCAAACAGCACCACATAGTTTACCCAAAGACGAAAATGTTATTGATACCCTTTTCTGATGAGGCAGAACAGGAGGTGAAATCACATCATTGATTCTCCAGAAATCGAATATGGTAGCTCTGCCATATTTGTAACAGTGTCTGAGAAACCAAAGCAGAGCTTCTAGTTGGAGATCCTGCATAATGTAAAACTATAGATCTGCTCCCATACTGTACTCTATAGATGTCATCCCCTTTGTGGATACATTTCAGATTGGAATGTAACATGCACTTATCTAGACTGTGTAACAGACAGTTAACAAGTAAACAAAACAATAATCAGAATCTGTTTTGCTCTGGCAGATTGTCTGAATACCTCATGTTCTTGCATGACTACTATAAACAGGCAGAAGTTTCTGATCTCGGAGCACACTTACGAGCTGATACCTTGGTGCTCAGTATGAGGTAATCTGCATGAATTGTTTCAGCTGGGGAACTGTAGGAGTGTGAAGGAGTTTGAGAAGCTGAACCGGATTGGTGAAGGAACTTACGGCATCGTTTGTGAGTTTCGTATTTTCACTACTTTAATTATGGCTCTGCCAGGCATGATATGAAGTCTTTCTGTACTGAAAGCAGAAGAATGGATTGAACAATACATGTTATACTGAATTGCTTTAGTTTAGTGGGAAGAAACAGAGATCAGAGACAGAGTGGGATGTGCAGTCAGGTTAGTGAAAACCACTCCATCCTTACTGGTCTCAGCAGTGAAGTGAGTTATTTCTCTTCTGCATACTGGTATAGTTTTTTTTATTAATTCCTGCTACTATTGATAAATAGTTTGCTATAATTAAACCTCTTGCTATATTAAACAATCAAGTAGATTCTGTGTTTAAACTGAGCCAGTAGCTCATAAAACATGGACAAGAGTCTTGTTACCATCCTCTTGTGAAAAATGTGTCACAGCCAGGCATCTTTGGAAACATTTTGTGAGTAAAGGACTTAGGCACTGTTATTTAAATTGGAAATGCCAACACTTTAAATTTAAAATGTTGAATGTTGGCTTTTCTGTTTCCCGTTTCTCTCTCCTGTTTTGAGTGGGAGAAGGAGAACAGCAAATGAGCATTTACAGTGGAGCTTGTTTCCAGGTTTCTTGTCTTGTTCTTGCAGACCGGGCACGGGACACAAAAAATCATGAGATTGTTGCTCTTAAGAAGGTGCGCATGGATAAAGAGAAAGATGGTGAGTATTATTTTTTCTTGAAGGCCAGAAATGGATGAAATTACTTCTGGAAATGTTAGTGCTGCCAGAAATCTTATGTTCATGTATTTTTCTTTACTGTGCAAGAGGGGACTTAAGAAGTGTCACTTCCTCTTTATGTCAAGACAAAAACAGTCTGTTAGAAAATGCAGTTAACCCACAAGGCAGGCTAATCAGCACAGACATGGAAGGCTGAATGTGTTTCTGACATTTAGAAGTTGACACATTTGACAGCTCACATCTGTGACCTGTAATATTAGTTTGTCTGACAAACGAGATTGAGAAAGGGCACCCTCTGCTGAAATAAATGCTGGACTGTTTTCGCATCATGTGGTGATTGATCAGGTGAACCGTTAGAAATGAAATGCTTTAGCTTTACGGATGGTTTTCAAGCCTTGCTCTGTGTCTGTTCCTGTCTTTTTATTTTCCTGGCTGGCCTGAAGGAATTCCAATCAGCAGCCTGCGGGAGATAACTCTGCTCCTGAAGCTGCGACACCCCAACATAGTGGAGCTTAAGGAGGTGGTTGTGGGAAATCACCTGGAAAGGTAGGGTTGGGGGCTATAAGCCTGTAAGACTTCTGTTGCATTGCCTCCAGAGGGCCTGTGTGTCTGATTCCCCTGTGGGTGGGTGTGGAAAATAAAAATGGATTGTGATATAGACTTGTGGCATTTGACATTTTTTGGAACTACCGTATGAACCAAACCTAGTAAAAACCAAGGATTAGTATGGTTTAAAATCCAATTTATAGGGATTCATTTGTTATAGATTGAGCTGTAAACTAAAGCATCTAATTAGCTATTATCAAAACTTTCTGCCTGGAGCGGTGTGTATTGATGATGTGTTGGAAAGCAGTGAGCTAAGTGAACTGAGACTGACATCTCTCTGGATGTCAGCCTATAACCTTTGGCACAGTACCCTTATTTGTGAAATAATGTGAGATTATCTATAGACTTCGTGACAATCAGCAAATCACTTATGTATTTAGGCTCATTATGTGTTAAACTGCCAAAAACCATGACTGATTTGACCTTGTAGCAGTATTGAAGAGTAGTTCTACCGGCTGGACTCCTGGGGGCTCTGCTTTCTCAGAGCCCGGGGAGGAGCTGTGACAGTCCTTCTGATTAGACGCCAACTCGAGAGACCTGAGCTGCCCTAGAGCTGCTCCCCTAGGCTGTGAATCACTGCCAGCACAACCAACAAGGTTGTCACATTATACTGCTATAAGCAGAGCCTGGAGTGTGACCAGGGGCTGTCTGATCTGAGCCTGCACCTGCCTCCTCCAAGCCAAGGTGAAACGAGACTCTCGTGTTCCCAGGACAACTGGCTTCATGCCTGCAAGGATAAATGAGATGACGGTGGACATAGCCATTTAATTTAATGGGAAAAAATGGGCACAGGATTGCTTGTAACTAATCGCTTCAAATATGCCATCCAGCTGTATCCTGAAAAAAAGGGGGTTTCAACTTCAACAACGTGGCACGGTGGCTTGTTCCAGACTGCCAGTACAGCCCCTTGTGTAAAAAAAGGGCCTCATTTTCTCAGAAACGGACTCCTGTGAGTTAATGTCTTGGCAGATTTAAGACACTGCACAGCTTCTTGTGTGTATTTTGTGCGTTTAAGGTTGTAATGTCAAAAAAGGGACGACTTTTAAAACGCTGTACCTGTGAACTTACCAGTTATATTTTTTTTTCTTCCATTTGTATGCATTGTTTAGCATTTTCCTGGTGATGGGATACTGTGAGCAAGACCTGGCTAGTCTACTGGAGAACATGCAGTCCCCATTCTCAGAAGCACAGGTAAGTCCTCTCACCTGAAGCAGCTCCTTGGCTCACTGTCCTACTTAGCGCAGGCCTAATAGAGCCAAGTCTTTCCCTCAGCCAGCTGGGTTTGACATACCACTGGCCATGACTCAAACAGGTCGCTCCCCAAGCCAGTTGAAAGGGTTCGTCCTGGGATATCACTTCAAACGAGAGTCAGATCAATTTGTTTCTGATTGACTCACCGTGTCCTCATTTACACTGCTGATGTGAATGCAGGCACTTGTCCAAGAGCTTTGCGAGACTGGCACCATTGATGTGATGTGCTTTGTGGAAAGTGGTCACTTCTGTGAGAGTGAATTGTAAGGCTTGGGTTTCCTAAGGCGTTTCCCGTCTCTCGCAGGTGAAGTGCATTGTTCTCCAGCTCCTGAGGGGGCTGCTTTACCTGCATGAAAACTTCATCGTGCACAGGTGAGTGTAGAACAGCAGAGTCAGGTTCTGGTTCTGGTTTGGGGCTCCACAAAGTGGATCAAGCAAAGTGGAGGACAGTAGGTATCCTCTAATCCCTAGTTTAGTTTTCATTGAACTGTATCTGCCTGTTTTTGATCAGCCTAGATATAGGAGAAAAGCAAAATATCTCATTTAAAGAGCTTCAGGGTAAAATGTTCCAATGACAGATGCAAACATCTATAGGACTGACAACTGAATTTGGCAAGACCTTTGATATTGTGAGGATGATCCTGCATTGTCCTCACAATCCCAGAATCCCATTTTTATTCGTGATCCATCATCAGAGCTCCTAGAAAGCGCACAAGGCAGTCAGATGTTACTCCTGTGATATTCAGCCAGCCTTCACTGTGAATATGCAACGTTTCTATTAAAAAGTTTTTGGATTGAACCTGATTAAACCTGTCTTATTGTGTCTTTAGTCGTTGATACCACTAGTCTCTCATTTGGGGTATTTCTGTTGTGTTTTACAGGGATCTGAAGGTGTCCAACTTACTAATGACAGATAAAGGCTGTGTAAAGATAGGTGAGTTGGCCTTTTAACGACCCCATCATGTGGACATCATCCTGAGCAGGGCTGCAGAACTCCAGGTCTCAGTGGCCATGGGAGCCTCGGATATTTGTTATAATTAAAGTCCGGTCCCAGTTTTGATACAGGTCTCTTCACAGCCTTTAAGGCATTCAGTAGGTGCGACAATGTAAGCCACTCACATCACCCAGTAAGATATTGTGAATAAATTTGATCTCTGGCCAAAATATTAGGAACCCCCCCCATCAAAATAATAGATTTTCTCAGTGGCAGGGCAGTTTTTGGTTGGCGTGAGGTGCAAGAGATAGACTTCTCCCCCTTTCCCTGGCCAGAACAATCCCCCAGCAGACCTTTGCCCTCACCCCAACCACAGCTGGAGCTGATCCAGTGAGAGGAATGGGGTGGGACTGGCCAGAAAATGTCATTATAAAATGTATGGAAACGATGGGATCCAATGAGCAAAAATGTTTTGGGCGTTATTTAGAAAGCACTTCTGAATTCAGTCTCACGTTGTCTTTTTGCAGCCGACTTCGGCCTGGCCAGAGCCTACGGTGTTCCCCTCAAGCCCATGACCCCCAAAGTGGTGACACTCTGGTACGCCCCCACCGGCCTGGCTTCGCCCTGCTCCCGGGTTTGGTCCAGTGCGTCACCTGCCTGCCTGCAGAGAGGGACTCTCCCTTCCTACAGCTGGCGCCAGCCCTCCAGTCAGGCTCGGGGGAGCCAGTGGCATTGGGGTGCGCACAGAGGGGTGCGCACACAGCCCTGCTCGCCCCTGTGATGGGTTAGGCACTGTAGCAGACTGGGCAGGGTGAAAAGCGAACAAATAATCTTTCCTTAGATTGAATTCTCCGTTGCCTCTATGAGATTCTCAGATACTGTTAAAGAAGCCCCCACCCCTCGTTCCTTTGATCTAAGACGTAGAATAGCACCCGCTTTGTGGACGTGAATTCTCCTAGTCCTAGTTCTCCAATTGGAGCAACACCTGTAAGTTTAAGTGACTTGAATATATTCCATCCATCAATTTTCTAGCTGCTTCTTGAACCCAGGGCCCCAGCACTGCGGGGCAGCAGTGCTAACCGCTGTGCTGCCTTGAATATATTGCTCTCAAACGCTTTTCAACTATGGATGGCTGTAGTGTCAGCATCCAGTGAATTCACAGGCCACTGTTGCGTTTCTCAGCTCTCTCTAGGAGTGAGGGTGATTGGTTATCATTCTTCTTTACATGCATTTCAGAGAACATGATCGGAAAAAAGTCCCTGAGTCGCTGGTGGAATTGTGTATGTGTAAAAACAACATGAAAAAGGCTGTGTTTCTCAAAATGGACAAATTTGTCTGGATTTCTTTAAAAGCATGTTGGAATGAACTTGATCAAGCCATTTTCAGTATAACAGAAGATCTTCACACTGACTTCTGTGCACAATACCCTGAAATATTAATTACCAGATAGATGTAGAATCCCCCCAGCATATCATTGTGTCATGAATATGAAAGGAATTACTGATTTTTGAGCCAAAATATAATACAGGGCTGTCACAATCCCTCCACTTACAGCACACAGCCTGTATGTCGTTTTCATAAAGAATAGAAGAATAAACCCCTTTTGATTCCCTTGCCTCTTTAGGTACAGAGCTCCTGAACTACTCCTGGGAACAAAAACACAGACAACTGCTATTGACATGTGGTAAGAGACATTTCTTTAGCTGCATGTGGGTGGTTTATATTCTGGAGGCCAGTATTTGAGCTTGTTGTTTTTTTCCCACAGGGCTGTGGGATGCATCCTGGCAGAACTGCTGGCCCACAAGCCTCTGCTGCCCGGGAGCTCAGAGATTCAGCAGATTGACCTCATTGTCCAGCTGCTGGGGACACCCAATGAAAACATCTGGCCGGTAAACGTACCATTAAACACCCCAGTCCCGTGAAGAGGGAAGTAAATAGGTGTCCTGTAACGAGTTTCCTTTACACGTCCTGGAAGTTGCGTGTGACTGCAGAAGAATCCAGCCAATAATAAGGCTCCCCCTAGTTATTTGTGGCTCATTTCCCAGTCCAGATTTGCTTGTCCCGATCTTGAGTGACCTTCATACACCTTGTCCGTGAACCAAAAAGACCCCCATAATTATTCTGTGATGGAGAGCTTTTCCAATAGAACATCACAGTACAGGGGGAGTACAGAGCTGCGTTAGTCTTTTTAGTGTTCCCCGTTAGCCACGCTGCAGGGTTTGTGGGGTGCATGCCTGTAGTCATCATTTGTGCAGTGTGGTAGGCAGTGGTGAATACCAGTTCTGTCTTGCAGTGCAGTAGTGACCTCTGTGACTCCTCAGTGGGCACAGACCTCGTTACCCTTGCAGCAGTTCCTAGAATTGTGAGAATGGCAGAACCTACTTCTGCCGCATCCTGATTAGTGAAAAACTGGAACCTGCATTTTAGAAATAATGTAGGTCAGGCCCCATTCATTTTGTAGGTCTCATAAAATGCGGAAGTAGCGATGATGTCCTGCTTGGCAAATCGGCCTGTTTTATGGCAGTCAGTTTGGCTCTGAGATTCAGCCTGGCTGAATGATGGGCTCGTGCTGGCCAGGCTGAATGTTCTTGGTGAGGGAGCTGGCCCTGCTGTCCCAGAGGTTTCTGAAAATAAATGTGGGATTTCTTTTTACAGAAGCTTTTGTAATTTGTTGAAAGTCCAAGCAAAATGTAGACGGGACTGAGAGGCCAGGGTTTAGAAAGTGGAGTCTTGTTGCTGACTGACGTCTTTTGCTGTCTCTCCCAGGGCTTTTCCAGGCTGCCGCTGGTGGGGCAGTACACCCTGAGGAAACAGCCCTACAACAACCTGAAGAACAAGTTCACCTGGCTGTCCGAGGCTGGCCTGCGTCTGCTCAACTTCCTCTTCATGTACAACCCCAAACGCAGGTGCAGCAGGCACAGCCAAGAGGCGGCGTTCTTGAACATAAACCCTGCGATGTCCAGGGTTTTGCTACGGCTGTTCACGTTTTTATATCCTTGTTTTCTTTCACTTTTCATATCCCGATAAGCTTTTAGAATCTGACGCTGATCAGGTCTCAGGCGACGAAATTCATCAGTTGGTTGTGAACTTCCTTTGCACAGCAGGATGTCCTCTCTGACAGATAGAAAGCTTCCTCAAGAGAAGGCAATAGCTAGCATTCAGGGCAACAAAAAACAGAAACTGTCCGGGTGTAGGTAACGTCAGTCACACGGCCTTCACGGCTTCAACTGCCCTGTGCACGTGAGCCAGCTCGAAAGCTGGCTTCCCTCTTTTGTCCTTTGGTTTCCTTTTTTCTATTCCTTTCTTCCTCTCTTTATATTATGGTTGGATTCATACAGTTTGTTTAGCTACCAAGTTGGTCACACCATGACAATTGTGCACATGTGGTCATTATTGTGTATGGTACCATGTAATAGGCTTTGTTTTTCCTGAAAAGCCCATAAGTAATTGAACAAAAAAGTTCAAAACATGTCGGGATCAGAATAGGAAGTGTAGAAGGAAAATTGAATGTACTACAGAATGATTGTGATGAAGCCCTGTAGTTAGTTTCCTACTGTTGAGCAAAGTCCCGGGGAGACTTGAATCAAATTCAATTTCAATGTGTGACTCAGATTTAGGTCTGTATATTTAGCTTTTTATGGTTTTACAGAGCTTTGAGGTATTATGAATTCCTATCGTATATTCTATTGGGGAGACAGTCAGAAGTGTCAGGGCACACTGTGATTTGGGGATTTGCATACCTGTATTTCCTCCTTCATGTGTATCTTTGTATCGCTGGTGCAGTCAGGAAGGAGGTTGGGGGTACCTGGGTGGTCGACTTGCCTTTGTGCAGTGGCCTCCGGTTGTCTCTTTAGGCTGCGCCCCTCATATCGCAGCCTGGGAGTTTGACAGGGCTCTTCTCCTTCCAGGGCTACAGCTAAGGACTGCCTGGACAGCTCCTACTTCAAGGAGAAGCCGTTGCGTAAGTAACCAAGAGGGTGATCTAGATCAGGTAAAAAAGAGAAAGTAGTGTATGGACCCCTGAGGGGGAGTGGTGGGTTAAGCAGCACTTGCTCACTGTCTTGGCAACAGTGCTGTGAAAGCAGGGTGATTCAGAAAAGAGTTGGAAAGAGCTGTAATTAAAGACATAGTTGAATTAAAAAGTTCTGTTAACCCACACAATGAAAATTCTACTTGGAATGAAAATCAGAAGGACCGCCAGGACTGAAAATCCTTCCCCCAGACATTTTCTTAATATCTTCCTCCCTCTCTGTGTATTGATGCAGTGTTAAGTGTTTCTTGCACAGCTGACAGGCTGTTACACCCCCTGTCTCCCTGCAGCCTGCGAGCCTGACCTCATGCCCACCTTCCCTCATCACCGCAACAAGAGAGCCGCGCCCGTGGCCGAGGGCCAGTCCAAGCGCCTCAAGGTGTGAGTCCGCCGGGAGCCCCGCCAGGTAGGGCCCGCACGAGCCGCAACATTGTAGCAGGGGCGCTCTTTTATTTAACAGGCCAGGCAGGTCACACATGGGCTCATGGAGGTGGGCTGGTATTATTTTCCATCTTTTAAACAGACATTGGCACGAACGGCCTTGTTAGGCAAAAGACATAGATCCCTGTCTCTTAGGCCTGCACGGAGACCTGCAGAGACCTTCATCTACACCCTGACCTGTACAGCACAGCTGTGTGTCCATTTTCTCTCCTGCCCAGGTGAAATGGAGGGCCAGCAGCGCAGCCGGGATTCGGGGGGGTGCACTTTGCAGCTCGGCCAAAACCTGCAATCACCTGGACTACTCGGGAGCCTGCCTGCATCAGGCAGCACTGAGTGCGCTGATCTCGATTTGATGGGCTGTACAATGTATGAAATGGATCTTCCATATCTTCACATCACCTGGGAGCGGAGCAGCATGAACTTTCCCGCGGGGGTTCTCAATTTGCCTGAATTTCAGATAATGAAGAAGAACGTGACTTTACATTTTCTGTTAAATGTCTGAGATGGGAGACAATTGAGAACTATTGCTAGAGAACCAGTTCATGTACATACTTGGATTTTGTTTGTTTTTTACCCTAGGAACATGTCACACTTTTGAATGAGTTGGAAATCGATTTACTTTTCCATGCAGGTGACATGCGAGGGTAGTGCAGGACTAGTATTTACTGCTGGGTCAACGCAGCAGGGTTGCAGGTTGGAATCCTGAATGCAGCCGTTCATCTTGACTCGCTGTGCGTGTGCTTCACCCAGGGAGGTCCAGACAGCCCAGATATACGGGGGGAAAAGGTGCTTTCTGGGGGTAAGCTGTCCCCCGCAGGGGGCAGTCTTGCACTTCTGGAGTAACTGCCCCTACAGAATGGAGACCAGCTTCAGCACTGCAGCTCCAAGACGGACATATGCATTAGCTTTATTGTGAAATAGAATCCCCATCCGGATATTAAATCGTGTGATTATCAAAAGTCATACAGCAGTCTGTAGACTGAACAAAATGTTTGTTTGTTCATGTACAGTAACTGGGGATCAGTTACATGAACTGTAGCAGTCAGTGTGATTTTCCCAAGAGGTGTGCAGTAGACTTTTATAACTGCGTTTTAATCCAGGGACTGTAGTAAAAATCCCACACGCCTTTATGCGTGATGCTGTTAGAAGAATCGGATGGGATTGGGCTGAAAATACTTCACATCCTTGTGGAATCCAGGCCGTGTTCCTGTCGGCCCTGTTCGCATTTCTCTCGGGATCCCCACGTTACTCAGTGGGGGGAGGGGCCCTGATAATTTGTAGAGCGAGTGCACATGTCTAGCAGCTATACTCTTTTACGTGCACAGCTGCTGCTGAAATATCATTCCAGTTCCTTGGATCAGATGACAAATTGAGGCAAGAGATTGGCTTCCACAGTGGAAGCGACTTGTCTTTCTGGCAGTTAGGGAGCTGTGCAAAATTCTGCTTGTGATAAGTGTAAAACTCCTCATGAATTACACTGTACAACTGGAAAAATATCCGAGATATGTATATATATTTTAGATGCAGGGAAACGCAAACAGGCCTGTTTTTTTTATTATTTTAGAAGCTTGAATTTGACATGAGAGATGCAGTCAGTTGACACTAAGTGAGTCTTGTTTCACTTGCATGCCTGGGATTTGGTTTTCACAGTCATGGGGTGACGTGACTTTGAAGACTGCTTACTGCAATGTAGAATAATCTGCATGTACACTATGTTGTATAAATATACATAAAAGTATTTTTGTTTGGCATTCCTATATTTGCTCTTGTCAATTTTTAGCTTCAGAAACTGTACTTAAAAGCTGTGAAAGCCTGAACTCTGTTCTTGCCACAACGTTATCTCACTGTCATGTTGCCCTGCAGAGCTGGATTTCCAATACCCTTTCGGACTTTAGACACCGGCTTCAAGATTGATCGTATTCAAGCAGTTCTTTTCAGTGCAAGAAGCTGATAATAACCAAAGTTATTCATTAGCCATTAACTGGTTTGGACCAAGTGTGGCCATGCAGGAAACACATGGTATTTGGTTATCTTGATCTCATTTTCTGACACCATTTCCACGTGTGAAGTGTGAATCAGCTGTTTTGCAGCAGACCCTACATCCGTGGTTCCATAGAGCCCCAGTCCAGTATCCCTTGTATCCAGCCGAAATCACCTCTTTCTAATGACTGGGGACACTTGAAAGTTATTGCTCAATTAATATTAAAATCAAAGGAAACATTTGTCTTGAGTGCTTGATGGTATTCAGGTAAGAAGTCACCTACTTAACTGGTAACAGTAATTTGCGATTTTAGACTAGGGATGCATCCATTACGAGAAAGGTAATGCTTGTGGCAATCATCTGAGTCTCTTAATTTACAAATCACAGAGTACACACAGTGACTGCTTAGGCACACCTTAACACCGAGAGAAAACCCAGTAAGCGCACACACTCAAACAAAAGGCAGGAACCAAGCCCATTGCCCAAGGTCTGTGAGTTAGCAACACTGTCCACTTTGCTACTTTAGAAAGCACAACTTTCCCGGTAAAAGAGCTCTGCAGGCCTAGAGCTGGAGACCACTGCTCCACATGAAGCACAAAGCCCGCTGAACAGGTGTTTGTGTAACAACTTACATTATTTTAATGCAGTAGCACTAAATGCATATATTGAACTTTCTAACATGGCACTTTGCTTTGAGAAGGGAGTCCAATTCAAATAGCCCAGAGGCAGATGGCAGTCTTTATCCTAGCTCAGGTTTGCTCAATTTAGACTTCCCAAACAAAGACAGCTGTATTTCTATTACTTTATTTAAAGGAACTAGAAACAATGAAACCTTTCTTGGCATGAAATGTAAATATTGTGCACTTGTAATCCACTCTTAAGACTGCCTAGAGAAGCAGTCACAACAGATAGAAATAACAAAAAGCCTTCACAAACAAGAAAAAAGGTGCCAGACAACCAATACTGAAGTGGAGTTTATTCTTCCTTAGCTTTTGGTAAAACAAAACACGGTTCTGTGCATAAACCAGTGTTGACAATACAGATATTTTACTTTCTCCAGTGATCTCCAGCAGCTGGTTTACAGTAAACAAGTTTTGAAACCTTTTTACACATAATTGATAGGATAAAGTGCACAGCGTGGGAAAATATTTTTAAGTATGGTCTATTATCAAAAATCCATGTTTCCAAGATGCACCAATAAGACCTATCAAGCAGTTTTAACAGCCATCTTTTGGCAGTGTGGAGCAAAGTGCCTTTGAGATCCGAGTTCAACAGTTTTAATTAAGGCAGCAGGACTTGTCACACAGACATCCCTCGCATTCCAGCAGCTGAGGATGTTTGAGCTAACGTACAAGATTTAAAAGTTGTTTTTCATGCAAGATAGAACACTGGCCTTTTTTCTGATGACCACAAAACTTGTTTCCTTGGTACTCCTGCCCTGCCCTGCCCAGCAAAAGGTTTAAGTATTCGCTGACGTCTTACAATAGAACCTGACCCTTTTGTCCGGGTTGTCTCTCAACTGGAGCCCCAGTCTAGACCAGCGATTCCCAGGCCTGGTCATGGTGACCCACACACCAGCTGGTTTTCATTCCAGCCCACCTTCAATTGACCTTCAGATAACTGAAGCCTTAATTGATCTAAAAAGCTGCTTCACCTGAAAATGTGTTTTGCTTCTAGTCACAAGTTTGGGATTTTATTTCACTTACAAAATACAGCAGTTAAAGCTTCAACATGTGTAAGAGCCGGAAACAAGCAGTTCAAATTCATCTTGTTCCAATCCTGTTATTAAGCCAGTCAAGGGTCTGACTGGGCAACTGAGAGATCGGCTGGAACAAAACCCAGAAGGTGTGTCAGTCGCCAAGACCTGGATTGAGAACCATTGGTCTAGACCAACAAGTCTACAAAACTCCCTTTTCGTTTTATCCTGCAGGCTGCAAACTGGTACTTGTAGAAATGATTCTGATTTTCCACTGATGCGCTGTGATGTTAGCCAGTTCTGGCAATTTCCCAGCGTGCAACCAGTCCAAGGGGTGTTCCTGCAGCTGGCGCGACACAGCTGGCAGTGTCCTCAGGAGTCAGAGACGCGGGTCCCACCTCTGTCCAACAGATCTCTCAGCAGTGGACCAAAGGACTGAGTAGCGGGAACAGGTTCTGAGATTTCCACAGCCTCCACCGCACCTATGCCAAACCCGTGTTTTAGGATTTGCCAGTAAATGGGCGATTTAAAAAAAAAAAAAGATTTTGCTAAAATCAAGACAAGCAGATTCCTTTATAGTGGATGCAGAGCAAACTGGAGTGTTCTATCCACACCAACATACATCTTTCACCATTTACAGTATATAGCTGGAGCTATATGTGTGAGGTACATTGTTCAAGGGTACAGCAGCATACAACACACACTGCTGCTACAGGATTTGAACCCACAATCTTCCATTTGTGAGTCCAGAGCCCCAAACACTGCTAATGCCCACACTCATTCACTATGACTGTGAATGCCTGATTTACCTTAATTCCAGATGGAAAATTAGGATGAGAAATTTACAGTATAAGCATTTTTTGAGTGTGTTGCTGATTGTAAGTAAGCCAAATTAAAATTGTGCTTTTTGGAGTATAGAGTTTGTTTACAGTACATAAGAAGCAGTAGTGCAAATACTTCAGTAGCTAGTTTACTGATTTTATCCTACTGATTTTATCCTGAAGAGGACAAACGGACAAACATTTAAACCTTTAAACCTCAGTTATTCCAAATGGATGACCACAAGTACAATTTATCGGGTATCTGAACCAACAATTTTTGCAGAACACAGCACAGCAGTTCATGCATATAATATAAGCTGGATTGCAGCATTTTTCTGAAGCTGTGCACTTGCCTAACTGTCTCACCGTGTGCTGCCGTTTACAGGTTTCTAACTTAGCGCACGAGAAACCGTGAAGCTCAAAGCATGTTTGGCAAGCCATTTGTGGGTTGGCAGTAATACATTGATGCATGTGATACCGCTGCTCTTTTTCAGTCATTTCCTTCAGCTGAGTCTGATCTGGTAAGTAAAATATTTTATGACTTTTACTAGCGCAGGTTTTGGTTTCTCTGCACAAAATGTCATGAGAGAGGTGACATGTTTCGCACATGAACCCAACGTGACCAGAACTGGATAAACAGCTATGGTTTTCCCATTGCTTGGCATCTAGCTTTCTCAACCACTCCTCTTGTTTAATTCTGTCATTCACAATGTGCAATTCATGATGTTGTTTGAGGCACGCGTTGCAGGAGCAGTCATGGATAGTATGGCAAGATTCACAGACGCAGAGACTGTGAAACGTCTCCTTGAGGCAGAAATGTTTTTCCCACTTTTGATCTTCATCAGCAGCACCATGGAGATTCATCTGCAGACTCTTCTTATCGCACTCCCGCCAGGACTCGGGGGGACAAATCCCAGAAGGTGGACTGGAGGCGCGACACACCAGGTGATGCGTGTCAGACGGGGGGCTCGTCTTCTCATCCAACTTCAATTTTAAAAGCTCTTGTTGGATGACTGTGGTCTCGGCGTCGGTGGCCAGACCTGGCTCGTGCTTTTTGGTTCTGCACTCTTCTAAAACGTGACAACCACAGCAGTGAAAAACCTTGCACACGGGGCATTTAAGAAAATATACCCCGTCATAGCTCTTGCTGCAACCGCACAGAGTGAAGCTCTGAGAATCGTGTCCTTTGCCGTCACTGTATCGCTCCCCCTTGCTTGCAGCGGGGCTGCTTCCCGCTTCGTGCTCCAGTGATATTTCTCTGGTCTTGTGCCCCTGCTCCTTTCGGGAGGTCTTCTGGACCTCGAACTTCAAGCTGGACCTATAGGCCCCTTCCCGTGAGTGGCTTCCATCTGCAGACCTAGGCGTTGTGCTCTTGGCACTCTGGCTATATCGAGCCTCCAGCTCCAGTCCCGTTTTCACAGAGGACACGGCGGAGGGTTTCTCCTTGCTGATCGCCTGCTGCTGATCCCCTCCGTTGGGGAGACGCCCATCTTCAGTATAGAGATCAAGCTCCGTCTTGGGCTCAGACCTGCCTCCAGTCCTCCAGTCGTTCTCATCTCGTTTCGCCAGGGCCTCCGTCTTCCTCCTGAGGTTCCCCACCACCTCCTCCAGGCTCCTGCAGCGCTGCCTCTCCTGCAGCAGGTCGCCGGCGCTCAGGCGTGGCTCCTCCAGCTGGCTGGCCGCCGCCAGCAGGAGGGCGCTCTCGCAGCGGGCGGCGAAGAAGCCGCAGGCCAGCTGCAGCAGGGCCTCCGCGGGCGGCTGGCGGCCCATCTCCAGCTGGTGCCTGTCCCGCGGCCGGTAGCCAAGCTTCTGGAAGAGCTCCAGAAGGGTCTGCTCGGGGAAGGCAGGCTTCAGGTAATGCGTGTACACTCCTGAAAACGTCTACAGAGCACAAGAGTATTAGCTGCAACAAAATCACTAGGAAAGGGAACACATTTCTATTTCGGGAAATGGCGAATACTTCAATCGAAAAGGCTGTTCAATCTGTTTAAGGGTGGAAGAGTTCAAACTGTATTAATGAAAAAACAATATAATACCGCAGATACGTTAAAAAGCTTTCAATGATTAATGCCTGGTCTTGCCACGCAACTGAATTCATTTACCAGTTTCCCTTGAAACTGGCCAAACGTATACCGAGAGGCATTTAAAGTGCAACGGCTGCTGCTGGTTTCAGTTTGTATTCATTGTGATTTTAATTCCTGCCACTGCATTAAGAACCCTCACATACAGAATATGGAGTTAAGACTAACTGGACATTCCACACACTGTCTCCAGCCCATTTCTCTAAAGGATGACTTCCAGGTGGGATTGTGGGGAATTGCGATGCAAACTCCAGCTGTTCTCAAAAAGAGATCGGAGAAAATTCTGGACGGTGACGGATGGATGTGATGTGTCTTGCAATTAAGTGAGTGTGTACGGTTAAAGGAGAGGAAAGTGGAATAAAAGAGACAGCCTGAGTTTGCACTACTTTAGGCAATCACTTGGCTTTAGGCTGTAGCAGGCTCAGCTTGAGCTTCGCATACCTTTATCATCTTGAACTCCTGCCTCCAAGGACACAAAAAGAGGTTGATAGCCGCCAGCTCCAGCACTTCAAAGCCCTTAACAAGTCTCTCCAGGCCCCTCTGCAGGCTGGGTGCGGTCTGCAGGGCGGCACCGATGACCTGGAAGGCATCGTTCTGCAGGGAGCCGTGCACTTCCTGGCCACCTCTCCGAAGGAGCCCTTCAACGGCGTCCACCAGCGAGGCGTCCCGGCACACCAGATCAGCCCTGCCCTCCTGCACGCGGGCCTCCAGGGACTTGCGGTACGTCTCACAGAGATCCTTCCTGCCAGCACCACTCATCCTGCGGACAGACAGCGCCGGTCAGAGGCCTTCACTCCCATCAGGTAAGGACTGAGGACGCAGGGAGCTCCCTCTGTCAATGTGCATTGTGTCACTGCCTTTAATTTGCCCCTTCTGTTGCGGAGAGGAACCGCCCTGCTGGCCATGTAGGGAGCTTTAAAAAGGTTAGAGTCAAGACGGGGGGGTTTTTCTAGCTTTTACCTAGAAATGCAAATGGTCAAATTCGGACGTTCAGACTGCACGACAAAAAAAAAAAGAAGCAAAGATCTGTGTTGCACGCTCTACAAAGTCAAAACAAATCAAGGTACTACTGTCACATTCCTTCCCACGCTGAAGACGGAAAACTGCTGGGCTGTGGTTCAGCTCCTCATGCCTGACTTCCCTCTGTTCAGCTGGTATGAGTCAAGGCCTATCTGAGCCTGCCCAAGTTGAGCCCGGGCCTCCTTGTTCAAATGGCTGGACCAGACCCAAAATAGCTATTCAATGGGCACAATAAACAAAATGAACAACTACAGTGAATGAAAGATAATTTGCACAAAAATTTAACAGCTTTAAAGCTTCATGTTTCTTGCTTTGTAGACGAGATTTTGGAGCTATCAAGATGTCAGTCCAACCTGACTGGCAGTTACAAAGGAAACTGGAGCTGTTCCCAGGAAACAACGGATTTTGATGGGAGACCTGGATTTTAGTGATTTAGCTTGTCTTGGCCCCTGTCGATGAGTTTATCTGCTGGTCCTGAAGAGCTGCAGACCTGGTAGTTTTAAAATCTTGAGTGGATAAAGAATTAACAGCAGTGTGGACCAGTGAAGTTAATAATTGATTTAGTTGCCTCAATAACAGCTCAGGACAGAATAAAAAGCAGTAGAAAATCCTCAAGATCTTTTCTGAAACAACCAGAAGCCAGCAATAAACAACCATACAGACATTAATAACCATTGACTTAGGCTTGTTTCCTTGTGCTACTGTATAGCTTTTGCATGTGCTCCATGTCATGTGAAAATCCAGGATATGTGTTTTTAACCACATTCTTTCAGCCTGAGACTTTTACAATGGCAAAACTTCCCAGAACATCCAATAACACTGAATTCTCTCAAAATCAGTGATCTTTTATAGCAGAATCCTTATGTGTTTGGAGGAGGTGCCTTATTTCTTAGGGCTGGGTGTGTCAAAAATAAACATTTAAAAAAAATACCTACACTACTACTATGTACTGTACTGTACTGAAAGTTCATTTGAGGTTTATCTAAAGACAGGGGTGTTAAGTCTATAGACTTGTTTTATGTCCTCTCTGTGAAACCTTACTACAGCAATAAGTACAAAACTGTGTTTGCTCATAATATTTAGAGTAATTACAAGCGCATGTTCTTAAACATTGAGCTGTCGACTTCACACAATAAATATGCATTAATGAAAACATTTAGCCCATTTTGAAAAAGCAATCAGTTTGTTATCATGGGGTGTCCCATGAAGTCCAAACTCAGCGACTAAACCGTACAGGTGGTCGTGCCTCATACTGTATACAGAGGGTGATGCCTCAACCTGAAGGACACGTATGTGTTGGACTCTTTTTAACGACACTCACCAGGTTGTGTCCGAAGAGTGAAAACTGCTAGGAATGTGTGATTAATTGTCTGCACAACCAGAACGCTGGGCATAGTTCTCACAGCACAGACAGGCTGAAAAGAGATGACTAGCCAGGAGCACATCAGCCATAAGAATGCTGTCTAAAGAACTCCATATATAAATCTCAGTAATTTAATCTCCCTCACATGTGATTGATGAGGGGCGCGTCTGCGGCTCTGCCAGTCTGCCACTGGAGAGACTAATGAGTGGAACGTGTCTTACAGATCCTGCAGACGTCACTGACGCGCAACAACGCTCAGGGCTGCAGAAAACGTCAAATTCCCATTTCGACTCGGAGGCCAGAGGCATACAAAACCGTCCTCCGCGCTGTGAATGTGTGCATTTACACGCCGGTTACTCGCCAGCGTTTTGAAAAACTGAGAAGATGAATTAAAGTCTCTCATCTAAGACCTCGAGTTCAATCACAGCAGGTCTGACGCTACATTGTAAATAGGGTCGCGTGTAAAAGGAAGCCATTCGGGTGAAATCGAAACTACGAAGCAAGAAACAAAATAAAATAAATTAAATTATAGGCCGTGGTTAAACCGCTATTGTACAACGTGACAATGCCACGGTCATTAATTGAATTAATAATTCCCAGAGAATTCCCAAGACCAGACTCGTGATCGGCATAATAACTAAAAACATGTTCTTCATAATGTTATATGTTAAAGTCTTTACATATCAACACACGGTCAGTTCAAACGCATTTCTACATACAGTTAAGAAAAACATGTCTTTAAAAGTGAGAAAATCACAGCCTTACCTCTTGTATTTTTGTGTTTTGTATTTGCGTTTCGTGTATTTACCCCGATTAAAACTGAAAGTATTTGACCCCGTCGGCTCGAAATTTGGCACAATCTCGCCCTTGCTGCAACGCTTCTCAGACTCTGGTGCCTTCTGATTATTTTTCTGCGCGAATTTTACACTTGGGATCGGTTTAATATGACTTTTTGCTGTTGTTTCGAAACTTCAGCCGATCCCTTGAAAGTTTTGACACAGCTCGCCTGCCTGCACTTCCTCCTCTCCTACCCCGCGTGGCCTGTGACGTCAGGACGCACCGAGCCCCATGGGACAGCGAGCGGGAGGGCTTGAGTAGGGCAGCTGCGTTTTATTTAAAGGGGATGATAAAAACGGGGTTCAATCACCTTCCCAGCTATGGAGCCCCTAGACAGGCGTAGGGGATGTCCGTCTTACCAACCTCAACCAACAAGGTCTTTCTATGTCAACACAAATTCAAGCTGATCTCTGTCAATAATGTCATGTCGTGTAATGTAAAGCAGCAATGTTCCAATTAGTAATAGAGTATCCAAGGTATTTCTGCTCCAGGCCAACGGTATCGATATCTGAGAAACTCTTCCCCCAGGGTTCCCAAGGGTCCTGGAGCCCTGCCTCAGTTGCTAACGGCACCTACTGGCAAACTCATCTCAAGGACTGAGCTGCACTGTCATTGTGTTTGTTGGACAATTCCCCTCTGGTATTTCTCAATCAGAATGCCAGGCGGGAGTGAGACTATGGAGGCTGGTAACATTCTTCACTGTGTTGTAATCTTTGTGGGGCTCCTGTGAAAGGCCTGCTGGAGGGAATGAAGAGTGGACGTGGGATTGCCCGGCTGCCTGAGTGCTTGTACAGGTCTGGGGCTCTTGACCAGTGGCACAGCTGGAACGGGCTCTTCCCCTGGACTGACTCCTTTGTGTTGCAATTGGGCAGTGATATCAATGTGACCAGTGAGTGAGCGTCACTGTACCTGTGTTTATTTGCATGCGGTGATGCTAGTGTATCCGCTTCAATATAACCAACAAGTACATTGATGAAAGTGCTCCGGGTTTATTAATACCGGTTTTTCTTCTCCCCTCCTTCGTCACCCACACAGATCAGTCAGTACTACACGGTGGGGTCTGAGAGCTTCTGTCCAGATCCAGTGGGGTCTGAGAG